TGTACTGAGCCCTTCTCCACTTTGCTTTGCATTACAGTTGGTTAGGCTGGGGAGAGTCTGAGGAGGGTTTTTTTGCCTTAAAGACAAACTCTTTTTTAGACTTATGCAGTTTCCTTAATAGGCATTTTCAAACGTATTTGTATTTAAACGTAGAAAAAGGAAACTGTTAAACCTTTAAGAAATTGTCTTTGCAAAATGGACATATATTAGGAAAAAGCTACATATATTTACAGAATCTATAGACATTTAGATAACACTGTGGTTTTATGAATTGGTGCTTAAATGCAGGAGATTATTTATGTTATAAACTGAAATAGTCAATAATAAGATTTGAAAATTGTTCATGTTAGAGCCACAGTATACGATTCTGGAAGGATTCTTAATATTTGAACTCAACAGCTAAACAAATACACCCCTCCCTTCAGTGCTCCTTCAGAAGCTCCACCCCCCAAATTCATGGACACTCATTGCCAAGGTGAAGGACATTGGGCTGTTGATAACTGTTGCGAGAGTTGCTGCTGTGAAGCTAACCAGTTACTATCATAAATATTAGCAAATGGCCGAAATAATACTGACCTACTGGTTTTGTGAAGCAGCAAAAATAAGCTAATGTTACCCACCTGTCGAGCAGAAACAGAGCAACCTCCTCATAACTTTTCATGCCTTTCAACTTTCAATGTAGATGAAGCTTCTTTTTCAGCAGCCTCTTGCTCTGAATTTCCCATTCCACCTTAAATGGTGCAGCAGTTACCTACCGGCACCGCGGCTTCTTTTTCCAATTTTCCTGCTCCACCTTAAATGTTGCAGCAGTTACATTCAGGTGCCAGAATGGAACTGCTGCACGATTTCAGGTGGAACTGGAAAATGCAAACAGGAAGACAGCTTCAACCTCATCAACTTTCAGAGGTCTCTTTTGTTTTTCTGTTATATTTTGTGCACTTTTACAAATGTATTTAGGTTTGACAGTTAACTGCATTGTTTTCTAGATGGTTTAGGTTGTTTTGAAAGAACTGTTTAAAACTCATAAAAATTAAGTGAACAGTGAAACACAAAATTTCCCATTTCTTTCTGGAAATGTGGTTTGTGTCTAGTTACACAGTAATTTGACTAGTGGTGCACCGATATGGGAACTGTGGGTTGATGCCCACAAAGCCCATGATATATTTTTCATGTGCATATCTGTTGATGCCAATTCCGTTACGTAAACATTAATTTAAGTGTAGAATCTGAGACCGCACCTACTTCAGTTTCTCAGCATTGCAGAGAAACATTATGCTTATTTCTATAAGATTAGAAATGCAGTAAGATGAATAAAATGCAGGTATTTTGGCTCAGTAACATCAGCGTCACCTAAAGGTTCTACTCTTCCAAAGTACATAATCATTACCAGTTTGAAATATCAGCCGAATCCAAACAACTGTCCAGTGGGGATAAATATAAAAAACTGGCAGTGCTGAAGTGAGTGCAGTATCTTTGTGCATCCATAACTGTTACTAATAATAAGGTTTCTTGTAGCGTAAAAAGAAAATAGTTTAACAGAATAAAACTGTACCATCAGAACACCTTTGTGAGGTTTGTAAGACTTTACCTGCGCTCTGGAAGCATAGAGTAACTTTATTAACTCAGACTTAAATTTGTTACCGTGATGCTGTGATTTATTTCGAAAATATTTTGAGTTTTATTGAAACTGCCTAGCTCTATACACATGTGCAGTACTGTGCAAAAGTCAGAGACCACCCTTCATTTATTTGATTTCCATTCGTAAAGTTCTTCCTTTTTCAGAAGATATTTCTGAGGCATTTTGATAATCCACTTGCATATGGAAGGGAAAAGTCAAAGGAATATAAGTGAAAAACAGGGAAAAAAAAAATGGAAAAAATAATACTGAAAAAATGGAACTCCTAACAACCGTGCAAGACCTGGTAGACCACCAGAACAGTTCCTGTATTTAAAGCTTTCGTCTTTAAGTGATAGCGGAAAAATGAAGCTCCACTCTTACGTCAGATCTGAACGAATCCACAGGTGTTTCTGTTTGTTGTTCCACTGTGAGAACAGCCCACCAATCAACTAACAAGCAAGCTACATTACTTATTTGAATTAACTTGAATTGAACCAGTTAATGTCAGTAGTTAATCTGCTGATTCATTGTATTGACAGCTGTTTCACCGACTGCATAGATGATGTTGACACGACGATATAGCTGGATATTGCATGGTCATTTGGCAGATGTTGCTGTCTCCTTGGTGTGTGATGGCCTTTAGCTGGCCCAGATTGCTTTGCCACAGGGAACTGAGTAGCATTGTGTGATATTATGGCCTAATTAGGTCTTTGTTGATCAGGGTGGGTGATATATTGTTTTTTAGCGCTTTTTCTTGGAGCTCTGCCAGCTTCAGCCCACAAGAAGCGCTTCTGAGGCGTCACATTAAGTCAGTGTGAGTGTGAGAGAGAGATGGGGAGAGATAAAGGCCTGCGTCCGAGAAAGTGTCATATTTCATCGGCTGGAATAAATCAAGGCAGACTTTCCTGGTGCCTTTTTTCTCTTCTGTTTTTTCCCTTCTCACTGAGGACCTGGATGACTTGCTGCTTTTTTTCAGTGCTGCTTGCGTGCAGCTTGAGCAGTTAATATTGGGTGGGAGCAGCAGGGTTGTGTGTGTTTGTGTGTGTGTTGCTGACAGGCAGGCGAGTGGGGAGAGGCTGGAGCCTTTGTGTGTGTGTGTGTCTTAGCGCAGTGGTTTACTCCTGCAGTTTGGAGTGTTTGGCAGGAAGCCCGGAGCGGCTGGAGGTTGCAGAGCATTCGAATGGAGCTGAGTATTAACACCACACGCCACCCAGCAGCTCCTCATACACAAATACTGCTGCCACGGCCGCTTTCACTGCTGAAGAAACCTGCCTCTGTTTATTTGTTTACTTTAAAACCTGCCTTGTTTCCTCATTAAGTTTCTGGCTGAACTTAATATGAATGGGTGCTCTTTAATCTAGTGTATGATACTGCAAAATATATGCAATATTTGAAGGGCTGTGCGGCATGGACATAAAATGCAACGTTCGATAAAGCTGTTGGATATCACAGTTTTGTTAGAAGAAGCAGTAAATTGTTATTAAAGTCGTGTGACTGGATGTGCCGCAAGTACAGACTTTTTTCAGTGTGAACAGTGTCTCACTAAGCTGTCCTGTAAGCAAAATTACAAAAGCACCATTCACTATTGTGCAAAATAAAAAACAATGAAATACCAAGAGCACTTTTTTGTGCACTGTAAAGCAGAACAAGGACACACAGTGTCACTGATGCAAAGCTCTGCTCTTATAAAGAAGCATCAAAAGCTTTCTGACTTCTAATGGCACCCCATTGACTGAGTTCCAAGAGGTGCTTCAGTCTGAAAACAAGTTTCCTTGAACAGCCTTTTCTGTTCATGTTTACAGTCGGGCTACAGACAGGAATAAATTTATATACATACATGTATTTTTTTATTATAGGCCTACAAAATGAATAAATTCCTTAAAAATTAAATTCCGTAAAAAGGCTCCTTATGATGATGCAGGTTTGGTGTTACAGTAGCCATTACTGCTTCATTTACCACAAAGTCTATTAATTTTACACACAACACAGGGTGAGAATAGATATCTTGTCTTTAGCAGTTTTACAGGCTAGTAGTTCGGCATAGACTAGTTTTTGAGCTGTGCACATGGATGTTTTGTTAACTGGCTTGAAATATACCACCATTAATTATATATTATAGAATATTATATATTATTATTCATACATCTTTGTTATTCAAGCAGCTTAGTATAACCCATTATCCCAAATTTGTATCTACCCAATTTTCTCCCCAATTTAATCGTCTCCAATTCCACCCGCTAGTTAAGACTCCCCCAATCACACGATACTACCAATGCTAGGAGGGTGAAGGCTAACACAGGCTTCCTCCGAGACCTGTGAAGCTCCACCACATCTTTTCGACCTGCCGCTCATGCAACGTCATTGGACAGCTGAACGCGCTCGGAGGAAAGCGCCAACTGCCAGATTCCTTACGTCAGCTAACAGATGCCTGCGCTGACTACCATCTGCCTGAGTGATGGGGGGAGAAGGAGGATGCCCCCCGCATCCGACCCACCCAGAGAGAGGATGCCCCCCGCATCCGACACACCCAGAGAGAGCGAGGCCATTTGTGCTCTCTTGGACTCCCGGCCATGGACGGCTGTAGCACCGCCAGGGATCGAACTTGCGATCTCCTCATGATAGGCCAACGCTTAGACGCTTACACCACTCGGGAGCCCAATTTGTATCTTTTTTTGACCCAGAAAATCACAATGGTGAACTCCAACTTTGTGTTCCTCTCTTTTTCCTCTGTGTCCAATTGTTTTTGTCTGTTTGGTTCTAACTTGCTTTTTCAGTTTATCATTATTCTGGTCTGAGATACTGTCAAGATCAAAACACTGTCTATCACTTCACCTTTCCTACTGTGCCAAGTACATTTACACAGCCTGTTTCTTGTTTGTAGAACATGTAACAAGCCCATAAGCCCCTCTTCTCTTTATGGGTTTGTAAATCTGAGAGGCAGAGCTGTGGTCTTCATGAGAAACTGACTAGTGCAGTTGTGGTTTGTTTTTTTTGCTTTTTTACTGTTGTTTTATTTTTTTTAATTGCTTTTATTTCTTAAAGTTACTTCTTCTGCTTCTGCATTTTGAGCTTAAGCTACATGTTTGAAAAAAGCCCTGTAGTTGTTGCTATTATTATTTTTTATTCAGCAAATAAACAGTAATTATGCACTAAAATGCAGAAGTGTGTGTTAACGTATTTCAGATTTAAAAATACAGTAAAACAGTAGGCATTTGAACTACTAAACATGCCAGTAGTCGAAAGAGAGCACAGTAAAAAAGGTTTCGTCCTCTTCAAGCCTAAGTGCTGCTTTATTTCCTAAATGAATGGCAACATGGTCACAGGTGTCAACTTACTATGGTTGAGACTTTTAACTCGTGCTTCACTCCTTTTGTCCTTCTAGAGAGAAGACACAGTTCCATTTGCAAGCCCCCGTCCGCCTACCCTTCCTCCGCTGCGTATCCAGTCTCGGGCCTCTCCTCCCGGAATCGGTCTGGAGGTGTGAGTGGGAGCGGGACGGCGGGATCCGTGGCGGCCTCCTCCAGTGGCAGCAACAGTACCCCCTCAGCCAAAGAGAAGATGCCTCACCGGAAGCCCCACTTCCCCTTGAAGGGGCCGCCTGACGACAAGTGAGTACAGTAATACTCTATAAAGCAAAAATTTATTGCCTGTTATTGTCGGATCAAATGGTGCAAAACATACCAATAGACTTCTTTTAAAGCTGTTGAACGTGTTAATGGCTGCTTAGTGGACGCTTACTAGCCTTCATGTCTTACTAGCCATTTTAAGTAGCCATTTAGAGACTTAGCTTGGTTCTAATGCAGTGAAGGCTATTCACTCTGTGCCAAACACCCTTGAGGACCCGTTCAGTACAGGTGAGTGTTTTCTCTGCTTTAACGCACCCAGTTCGACTCAGTTTGAGCTTTTTATCAAGCTCATCCCAAGTTAAGTCAAGTATGTCAGGGAATAAAGTGCTGAACTGCAAAACAGGCAATTCCCATGCCTGAGATACAGTACTCTGTCCACACCGCAGCCAGGGTGTGCTTAGGCCAGTCACAATTATTACACAATAGCCTATTCACAATTATTTTAGATGATTGCAATTATTTAAGCAGCAGTCAGTGGATTTCACAGTTATATTATGCTGTAACAAACAAAATGAATTGGGTGCACTGGGTTAAGCCAAGTAAATGTAAATAAAAGAAAGCAGTAAATGCATTCATTGAGACATTGTGTTATAAAAACAACAAAGGTTCTAACTTCTTATTGCTCTAGCATGCTTAGAGGCAGCGCTGAGTAATATTTATTTAGTAGATATGTAGCTGAACATTTTAGCATGTACACTAACAAAATTAGTGTTTTTTTTTTTTTTGGTTGTATTTATGTAGTACATCTAGGTTTGCTTAACTTCACACATGATTCATTGTAACTGTAGACATTGGTGAGTGTGTGTGCAGTATTGATTAAACAGCACTACCAGGGTACCTATTAAAGAAACATAACTAGCAAATGAGATGGCTAATAAGTAATATAATAAGCTAACAAGTTTGGCCATGTTTAAACAATGACCAAAAAAAGACATCCTTAATCGCAATTATTTATAGGACAATTAAATCAAAAGCTAAGATTGCATGGACGTGACAGCCCCAGATGTACAGTTAGTAGAACTAGGTGATGTAAACTTGCATTCAGTGGCATAGAATGATAAGGATTTTTGTTATTGCGCATGAGGGCTACCCAACATCAGGCCTCATTCACCAAGAAAGTTCTTCTTAAAACCCACTTATGCAGTTTTCACAAAGATTCTCACATTCACTAATGTTTTCTTATTTTGAGATTTGTTCTTGGGTAAGAACAGAATCTACACTCACTCAAGAGCACAAAGGTGTGAACAGTTCTGCGGTTTAGCAACACGTCATGAATCTGATGTAGACTTTTTTTTAGGATCTTCTCGAGCAAATTTAAGAAAAGCCTTATAAAGATATTGGTGAATGAGGCCCATTGTTGTATTGTCATAAGGTACATTTCCATCCACATTTTTTTTCCTGCAAAAAACATTGTAGCACATCAAACAGTTGGCCAGTGTTGCCTGTAGAAGCGGAAAGCGGACACGTTTTTTTCCCCAACTTTGGCAGAATAACATATTAATAACCCTATGGTGCGTACACGCAAGTGTGCAAATATGCAAATATGTCTCTGTAACGTTCGCTCCCTCAGTAACAACTTAGCATCAACTCATACTGTGACTGACTACGCAGTGGGAGATGAGAGATTACTGAGTGAAGCAGCTCAGTGAGTCGGGTAAAGGAGCCCATTGGTGTTTTACACTGTGTGTATGTTGTGTTATCTGCCATATTTGTGAAAATCAATGAAACAGATGAAACCGATAGCTTAATAAGAATTGCAGCTGGTCTGCCGCCCACAACTACTGCCATTCCATGAAATATCTTGTTACAGATTTTGCCATTAGCATTTTTACTGCTGCTTGTCAACGCACACCACTAACATGTTAAGTTCCATCTTCACTTGCGCATGCACTGGTGACTCAGTAGCGCACGTTTTGTGGTATCAGTACCTCCACTGCCTACAACGATACTGCTACCAGTATGTGCACTGATATGGTGTTGGTATCAGTGCAGCCCTACTGGAGAGCAGACAAGAGAATTTTTAAAAGGGCTGCTGACAGTTTTTAGCACTAAAAGAGAGAGATGTCCAAAAAACACTACAACCTTTCTAAGTGAAAAGCCTTTAAACAGCTCTATAAGCAAAAAATGTGATCTCTTCTGTAATGCCTTAGATGGAAAATAAATAAATAAATGAACAATTTCAAAATCAGTGGGTTATGGAGAAGTCAGGGAAGCCAAAGCGACATAAGTTGTGACACATGAAATCAGAGATGGAAACATGTCAAACGTGATGCGCAGAAAATCAATGAAACATTTTTGACCAACCGCAATATTGTTTTTTTATGTGTTGCAATGTTATTGTAATTACAGTGTATAACAGTAATATTTTGTCCAGATCATGGATCTTTACTCCGCATTAAAAATACAGGAAGACATGTTGTTGTTTTTAATCTTGAGTGCCTCACTCCCGTAGACTTATACACATACTAGACTGACATGACATCTTTTTTTCTTCCATTCAGCCTGACCTCAGCTGTCAAAGTGGAGAAGGTCCATGTAAAGGCGGACTACTCTTCCTCCTCCAAGCTTGCCCATGTGCCCACCTCCTCCTCTTCCTCCATTTCTGCCAGTACTGTGAGCTCATCACCCTCAAAGCCAGGCCTTAATAGCCCCTCTGTACCAAAGGCTCAGCTGCTGGCCCCGGGCCACATCCCCAACGGAAAGGGCCACCTCACCTCCCTTGACAAGAAGCAGGACAGCAGCACCAATGCCAGTAGCAGAAGACTGTACAGGAAACAGCCAGGTGAGGGCTGTGGGGGGGGGCACAAGTCTGTTCTTCACCTACGTGTTTACCCTGCTGTTGGCATTGATGGAGCAGAGATTGCTGGTCAAGATGATGATAGTGTAGAAGTGAACTTGTGACAAAACTTCTCCGCTTCTACATTTTCATTCATTCATATTAATTTCATAGAATTAATAATATTTTCAAGCTCAGAGAACAGTCAGTAATTATTATGTTCACATCAGCTCACTGTGTGATCATTGGATAGTGTCTTTGTGCCAGACTCTACCTTTTTGCTTATAAATGAAGACAGAAGTATTTCAATGAACAGGCAGCTCAATATGAGGCACTTTCTGTTTAACTCTTTGATAACTGCTCTGAAATAGTAAATCTGAACACGAACACTTTCATATCACAGTCTTACGAGAATATAAAATGCATCCACACGTAACCTTTTATATGAAAATAACTAAGAGTAGTAAGAGGTGAAAAATGGAAACCAGTGCATTCTGGTTAGCTGTGCTCCCAGAGAAACTGTTTATTATTTAAGACTGTAAGTGTCTTTTGTCTTTAAGAAGTGTGATAATTGACAACTGACAGTCATATCTGTTGGTAAAGCACTGTTTAACTAAAACTATTGGACTTTTAGACCTATTTAATTAGATTGAATTGTAAAGTGTATTTGACAGTGTAGCATGTAAGTATAACTTTCCTGTTTTAGTTTTTAAATAAGTAAATAATTAGTTAATTATTTAATGGGATCATTAATGAATGAAAAAGTCACTGAGGTCTATTTAGGTCTGCAAGTTAATAAAGAGAAAAAACAATTTTCAGTTACTCAATTTTATTTTGCCTTGTATTGCTTTGTATTCTGTTGTACCTCATTGTGTATTGCTGTTCTGATTTTTTTTCTTTCTTCCCCACTAGAACGCGAGTTCAATCCTGATATCCATTGTGGAGTTGTGGATATAGGAGCACGTAAGCCATGCACAAGATCCTTAACATGCAAGGTGAGTCACACCCAGCGCCCTTTTCAAATCACTCTCTCAGTGGAGTATTTTACAAATGCAATCAGAGAAACTCTATACATGAATTGCTGTTGATGATGGCGTGACAGCACACTACGTTCTACTGACAATAAAATATTAGTCTATAAATTTAGGTGTAGAATGTGCCTTTTAGATTTGACGTGGCTACACTTGAAGCTTTTGTCCATTATAGACTCAATATGGGCACTAAAGCAAACTGGTTAAAACCAGTTACTTGTAAAAACTTGTAAGATTAGAACATAATCTGGTGACAAGTTTCTTGAAACAGCCAATCAGAACACGATAAAGCTTAATGCTGATCATGTTTCACGGCATACTTTCAAACCGTTGATTTCACCGGATTCATAGACAAAAAAATAAAACAGAAGATGGTTTCTTTGGTGGGTGAAAAGGAGACCCCACCCAAATGATGTTACACAAGGTTGGTAGTTTTTGATTTTGGCAGTTTTAAGCAGTGACAGCAGACATGAGTTTTTAAAGCTAACACTTCTGTAACCATCTGCGTTAATTAACCAGATAACGGCAGCAGCTGTTTAACGGCTGCTTGTTTCAACATTTATCCTTCTGCCAGTCTACTGTTCATGATCTATGAAGCTGGTTTCATTTTCTCCACTCTTGTAGCCCCCTTATTTTACACAGAGCTCAGTTTCTTTTGGGATCGAAAGGATGAATATTATTACAAAAGAGGAGAACACGTTGTGCTTCTAGGACAGGATGAGCGAGATATCAGGTAGGCTGCAACTGTAACAGATAGTAGATAGATATATAAGAAGAGGCAGTGACATCTGGAAAAAATAGAGGAAGATGATAACATTTTATACCAAATTCAGTAAAGAATATCCAGAAATACAAGCTGCTAATTTGGCTGTCTAGCGGAGTAATGAACATGTTCCGTGCAACTTTGTTTTTGAATTGCTTTGTGTAACTGTCAAGTTTCATGGAAATTATTTTGCAGGCAACTCGCAACATGCAACTAGTTACTACATACAGGTTTCATCGTATAAAGCCAGCCTAAAACATTCGAACAGTAATATATATAAACAGAATATAATACACAATTACATTACTATATAGAAGAGCTGATAAAACCTTAAAAAATAGAGCTTTCATTTCATTTGTGCACCGCTGTAGATTACATTAGGGGATACATGGTTCTGTTCTGACTGATTGCCGAGAAATAGACTGTTTTGTGGCTGTGGTGGAAAACGCTGTTGATGCTACTGTGCAATCTGTTGCGGTAGCAGTCCTTTCAGTGTGTGGTAGTACACAAGCAGTGATCTTTTCTGCCACCTTTCTGTCTAAAACTGAGGTGTTGCTGCAGTTGCAGCTTTTCCCACACAGACACTCTGAATCATGCAGCAGTTCTTCACTAATGCTGCTTTGTACAGCTACAGGAGATAGATGCTCGTTTTTTCTCAAATGTTTACAATACATGGAGCACAGTGGTTGTTATCTTAAAGCTTTCAGACACTTTGGACTATGACGAGAATAAATGGGTGATATCTGTCAGAACAGGAGCTGGCTGCTTTGTACACAGCCTGTGGCTGCAGGGGGGGTATTCCAGTGGGCCGAGACGCTCTCTTTGCTAAGTGATCTGTACGCATCAACATTCAGCAAGCTTCAGCATGAATTCATGTGGTCCAACTGGAGGTCCAACAGACTTCTTGTTAAGAAACAGCACTGAAGTGAGTGTAGAATATGTTCAGCTTGACAGATAGTGCTGAGTCACTCCTGTCAGACTTGCAGCACCTGACTCTGTAGCTGCTGATAGAATGTAATCCTTGTCGAGAGTTATGCATAGCGGTTGGCAAGGTTTCTCACTTCAGCCTTTCCTGGACTGCCTGATGGTCATCTCTAGTGTATACGATGACTTCTTGGGTAATAGATACAGTACAGATATTTTCACTCAGAATCAAATGTGCTCTGTAGTTTGATCCTAGTATGCTTGTACTTGTACTGTGCTGGTAAATTGTGTCACCCCTGATCAAATTAGATGTTGTGTAGATTTTCTAAGCTTAAAAAAAAGTTAACACATCCTCTACAGAGAACACACTTCTGCATATTTTAATATCCAGTTACTGTTCATTTGTTGAATTTAACATAGTGGAAAACAAAATAAAACGTAAAATGTGGCTTGTGCAAAAATTTTGTCAAATTTTATATTTTATTTTTTTCCCCAAAATGTTAAACTCAGCAAGTCAATAGAAATTGTGCAAACATTTTTAGATTTGTTCCCTGTACAGAATGTTTTAACTCACTTTCATTTAGAAAATCAACAACAAAAAAAAATTGACCAGGAGTGTTTAAATTTCTGCATACAACAGTATATTCAGTTGTAATGTAGTACCTAACCATGCATTCACACCGGCAGCGACTTCTCGCCTCCAGTCGCCCAAATCACTGATGGGCCTGTGGCTATTTCTGAACTCGAACTGACAGTTGGTTGCCATGGTTTCACTGACGCCAAACACAAATCATATGCATTTAAAATAAAATTTCTATTTAATCCCTGTGTCTGTGCAGTAAGTTTGTAAGGAAAACAGTGTTTGGCCTGGGCAATTATTGTCTATTTGCAGCGAAAGCGCCGCCGCCATTGTTCCATCTCTAGTAGGTACAATTATGTAGGAACCAAATAAGGAGTGCACTGTGTTAGTGGCAGAGATAAAGCGTGTCGTATGCTGCTCAGTGCTCAATTCCTATTGGTAGTCGCCACATCACTTCACTCCTTATTTGCATAAAGTTAAACTTAGCTCAACTTTTCACGCCGCCGACTTTACCCACTTCGCGTCGCCAGCGTTCGCCCTGCTTCTTGTTGTCGGATGTCGCCAGCTCTCATTGAAAATTAATGACCTCTGGCCGCTTTGTCGCATCAGGCCACTGCCGGTGTGAATGCAGGGTAAGAGTGGGTGATAAGGCAAAAATATAGCATTACGATATGTAAAGACTCAGTGTGTATCAGGTATTTTTCTTATTTTCAAAGTTGTTAAAAATGCTAAATAAAAATCAGTACAATGATTTTTGTTTATTCAGAATTCGCAAAAATGAACTAATTAAGAAGGAGCAGGAGGAAAAATTCAAATCAGCAATTGGTAAAAATAAATTACCAAAAAAAAAAAAAATTTAATGGCATAATGCGCTGACATCCAATTATGTGTTTGTTACTATGCAGTTACTATACACTGGTGGTTGTTGTTTACAGGCTTTTATAATTGTTCTTTTTTTTTATGATACATGCAGTTGTTCAACAAGTACCGACATACATAGAAAAATGTATTGTGACCTAGTCGTGGGTGATATACTGGTTCATTTGGTATACTGGTTGAAATTCTACTTGAAGTGCAGATTAACGTTAACCTGTTTAGCTGAATGGTTGAGTCAGGGATCTTTGTTCCTCATCTGCCGCTGTGGGGTCAGTTGCAGTCTGAGATAATGTTAGTCTAGATTGTTATTGAGGCAAGAAACATTAGAGAGATAAATGAAAGGAACAGCCAGTATCTTGAGGGTAGCCTTTAGCTTGCCACACTTCTGTTTGTTTTCACACCAAAAGGAACTCTCATCAGGAATGCAACATGTTTGATGCACTTCAGCTTTCTTTGGGTTGACTGGGTTCAGGACCACAGTGCATGTAGCAGCTGTGACAGTAGAAGAGAACTCCATAATCATCCGAACTCTGGTGTTATAAAAGCAAGATTCCAGGTGTACTTTAACGTCAGTGCTGTAGATTAAAAAGAAACTACCTGAACCTTTGTTCTTGCCAGTTGATTCAGAAATCCTATTGGTACAATAAACTTGTGTCCCACAGCGTGAACATCCTGTCTGAGGTTAATGAGTTCTGTGAAGCAGTGCACAACGTCCCCTGTCGAATATTAATTTGATAGTACAGCTCCTCTGTTTTATTATTCAGCTGTGTTATGAAATACATGGCGGAAGTGGTTTGAACACAGACTTCTTATCATGCCACTTATATCCCTTGAAAGCATGAAATATGTATTCTCTTCAGTCATTTATAAACTTAGAATTGTTTCTGTAATTAAACAGAAAATGTATGTTACAGTAATTGTTCAGTATTTTGACCTCAGTTGCTGCTAATGCTACAAATAAAGAATAAAAAAGCTACATTTTGATTAGCACATTTCATAGGTTTGTCAGGCAATGCAAAGTGCTTTACAGTATGTATGAAAACTATATATCGCTGCTGTCGGAACAAAAATTTTTCAGTTTTTGGCAGAATTTGAAAATGCCTGTTTCCTTTTACATTATGTGTAAATTTCATGATGAGTAGTAAAAAATTAGCCCAAAATTACTTGGAAAAAAGTCTGTTTTTTCCTTCTCCTGTAAAGTTATCATTTTGGAAATACAAGGTTTTGTTCCGACAGCAACGATATGTGGTACACTTGTGCTGATTGCTGCTGTTAAATGTCTAGTGGGTTAGTATATTTTCTTTCACTACGCTTTTATAGATTTGCATTTTCTATTGTGTAGCATTGTTGTTACTAATAATATAATTAATAGCTTTAATGGTAAATTAAAAAAATTTATTGACTCCTTTCCTCTGCAGACACATTCCTTAAGCCAGAGGAGGGCGGTCACTGGGCGGCGAAAGCGCTTTGATACGTTGCTAGCAGAGCACAAAAATCGAGCACGAGAGAAGGAGCTGCAGCACAGGTCCGAGCCCTCCCAGCAAACCCCCCCTCTCAGGGACCCCCACCCACCCTTCTCCCGCCTCCCGCAAGACCCCCACCACCCGCCTCCCCATGGCAATGGCACCGCCGCTGATGCCTCCAAGCCTTTTACCCTCAGCAAACCCAAACCTCACAATCCTGGTCTTCCACGGTGAGTGGACCCATTCCTGTCCAGTTCCATCAACATCCTCCTTCTGTCCAAACTGCATCAGGGCTGCAACATATATTCACTTATGTTGGATAAATTTGATAATGAAAATATTTGAAAACCGACATGTTTACCACTTTGAATCCATGCACTTCCATCAGGAAACACAACTCCCCTGTTCACTGTGACAAAAGCTGACCACAATGTTCTTATTTTTTAGATGACGGTTACAGATGCTCTCTTGCAGTGCTTCTTGTTTTTTATACAGATTGCTATGAAAATAATTTGATATCAGTGATTGTTTTTTCATTGCTTTGTAGTATTTCAATTAGTCTTCACTAAAAACTAAATAAACAAATATTATTTATGCAAATATTAATTATGCCTAATAATAATAATAATAATAATAATAATAAAACACATCTACAATATTTGTAGTAATAATAATAATAAAAAATAAGAACAAAAATGTTTTTTATTCCGAGATTAAAGTGAAATACGTCTTGAGATTTTCTTATTTTTTCTATGGAATGTTTAAATATTCCAGATGACATTTGGTGGGACATTCAGAAATGAAAATGTACAGTTGTTGCAGCCCTGCTCTGCATAGAGGAGTTTATACTGCCTGTTTTGTTCATTAGTCTTTAAGAGAATCCTTTATGTCCTTTAGTTATGTGTGCACTTCAACAAAGCAGCATTTTTGGACAGGTTCATAATATACTTTGTCTACCGTTGACATATAGGGCTGAAAATAACTAATTCTTTAATAAACTTAATTGACTAATAGTGGCAGCCTACTTTACGAACCAGAAAGTTCTCATGCAACAGCTAAAACGTTATAAAGAAATTCCCTTTAAAGCTGTTGTACTGATGGGTTTGTTGTGTATGTGTCTCTTCCAGGCTTGACAGCAGTAGCTCTCATAGTGGGGTGAGCGGTTTAGGGAACCCTGCCCTGGTCCATGACTCAACCCAGCACCCCCACTCAGCTCCCACACCTGACGGGGTGTCCCGCCTGTCCAGCGATGAGGGCGAGAATGAGGAGAGAGAAGAGGGAGTGGACAAACTGGACTGCCACTATTCAGGTTATCACCCGCGACCAGCTGCTGTAAGTCCTTCACAATAACATCTTTCAGCCAATGCAGCGGCAGGTTTACAGGTTCAGTGGATTATAATCAGTGCCTAGGTGTGCTAACACACCTGACCCAGCTCATGAATGGCTTGATAATTACCTGATAAACAGGGGCAACATAACACATTTGGAGTGCATGTGGGCCATGGTACTAACACTGAGAGTCACTTGATCAATGTGTGTAGAAAGCTGTGCCGTATTCTGTTTATTTTTTTCTAAGTGACTTTGAATTCACTCCAGCCTTGGTAGCTAGTTGAAAGACAGTTCTGAATAAATATTAAGCAGTTAATTTGTTGGTTTGTGTATAAATGTAAAGTTAGCTTTCAGTATGACATTCGTTTTCACAAAACATTAAATGTAATGTGAAAGGTTTTGAATGATTATCTTTTCCTCTCTGTCCATCTAGTTCTGCAGTTTTGGAAGCCGACTGTTCGGGAGGAGCTGTTACTCGTTTGACCGGCGCTGGGATCGAGTCCGGTGTGCATTGGCTGTGATGATGGACAAACATGTCAACTCTCTGATGTGGAAGTGAGTACCATCATCACCTCTAAAAGCTGTTATGCTACAGCTCGGAAATGGCCAGCAAAGCACATTAGACTTATTCCCAACTCTTACTTATCACAGACTTTATAACTTGACAACTTGAGTCTAACTCTAAATTTATGCACCTTACTATACCATGTCAGAAGAATGCTAAAAAAACTTAAAACAAAAGTACAATTATGCGACTAATTGTTTTCAAGCAACAAACATGGATGTAGTGTTCATTAATAATAAAAAAAGTCAATTTATAAGTGGCAAGGAAAAACTCCCTCAGAGCTGAGGAAGAAACCTTGGGAGGAACCAAGGCTCACATGGGGGGACCCATCCTCCTCTGGTCAAACTACGTACAAAATTATTATTCTACTAATATTAATAGTAGTAGTAGTAATAGTTAGGAGGTAGTAATAGTTAGGAGACTTCAGTGTAGAGTGGGCAGCCAGTCCAAGGCAGGTGGCGGTGACTGGGTTGTGGGTAACTCGTCTGAAGCGGGTAGCCGGAGAGCTCTACAAACAATCATCCAGCAGTGTCCGGCAGGACAGGTGGGCAGTCGTTTTCTCGGAAGAAAGGTAGGGAAATGGAGTTAGTTTAGTTATGTATGGGTGTATGTATAGTAGTATGTAAATCATTTCCAGAGTGTGGCTAATGACTCCGGCAGATCTGACTATAACAGCTTAACTAAAAGGAGCGAGCCAAAAGGGCACACAGACACGGGAGCACCCTGAAACAATCTGGCATCCCTCCGCTCCACCTTCCACAAACCTGAGTGTTCGCGTGTGAGCGGCGGGACGACAGCACCAGTCTCAGTTTACTATAATTCCCTGCGTCCATGGACCCCTGGTTCTGCTGCCTTTATCCAAGGGGAAACATTAGCTACCAAAAGCTAAACTAAACAAGTGAGTTTTCAGCCTAGATTTGAATATTGAGTCTGAGTCCCGAACATTTTCTGGAAGATCATTCCAGAGTTTGGGGGCTTTATAAGAAAAGGCTCTTCCCCCAGATGAAACCTTCTGAATTCTGGGAACTATTAAAAAGCCAGCACTCTGTGATCTGAGTAATCGTGGTGGCTCGTAAAGGGAAATAAGGTCTTGTAGGTACTCAGGAGCGAGCCCATGTAGGGCTTTATACGTCAATAAAAGAATTTTGTAATCAATACGGAATTTAACAGGCAGCCAATGGAGTGATGATAGAATTGGACTGATATGATCAAATTTTCTAGTTTTAGTGAGAACCCTGGCTGCAGCATTTTGAACTAGTTGAAGTTTACTTAAATTCCTGCTGGTGCATCCTGATAGTAGTGCGTTACAGTAATCTAGCCTTGAGGTAATAAAGGCATGTACTAATGTTTCTGCATCGTGCAGCGATAAGGCATTTCTTATTCTGGCGATATTGCGAAGATGGATGTTCTCGTTCATACTTGCCATGAAATTCCCAGTAAACTGGATGTGACATCATCAGCATGAATGGCCAACAGCTTTCATTTCTGAATCATGTATAAAAATACATAATATTTTTCATGCAGCTTTTTTTCATCATATTAACTGAAAACTGCTGTGAAAAACACAAATGCTTTGCTGATCATGCTATGTCACTTCTGCGCAGAAGCCACCACACACACTAGCGAGAGGTTTTCTAAATCTAAGAAACTGTTAAACTGAATTGACCAGATACGTTCCAGTTTGCCAGCTTTGATCTATACATCACTGTAAAGCTGCTTTGTGACCAGGCCTGTTGTAAAAAGTGCTAGATAAATAAACTTTGACTTGACTTGGCTTGACTGTATTTTCCGCTAATGTGTCAGCTTTTAAACACATGGGAGCCCTCCGGGATTTAATTTAGGAAAGTTAAAGTTCATTACTGCATGTGAAATACCTTCTTCTGTGGCAAGGGTCACCCATTAAAGTCCAATAGGGCTGGAGTCCAGTTTAATGATTTCCCTTCTCAAGCAAAAAATAATTCAACTAATCAGTTAATTAATAGGTTTAGTAAATGTGTAAATGCAGGCAAAATGCCAAACTGCTGTGGACTCTAGCCCTTCAAGACCAGAACTGGTGACCTCTGTTCTGGGGTTTCTAGGGCATTAAAAATAGGCAGAACAAGACAATAACTGTTGCCTCTTGTAAGCTTGTTATAAAATCAGTAAATAAATGATTACTTTTCACAGTGTTGTTGCCTTTCCAGATGTTGTTTTTCATGCTGCTTTTTAACCTTGTAGGAAAATCCCCCTGGCGCCAGAAAATTCATCCTCATCGGCTGTTGCGTCATCTCATCGGTCAAGCGCAAACTCTCTTTCCTCTTCTTCGGGCTTCCTCAGCCCCTCCCCTCCGCCTCCCTATGGCCATTTGTACGACAGCAAGCCTGTGCTGTCGTACGGGACCACCCTGAATGCTCGGGCCACGCCTCAGAGGGCAGGAGAGCAGCTGGCCTACAGTGGTGGCAGCAGCAGTGGCTCGTCCAGACAAGTGTCCTCGTCATCACCCCAGATGCCTTCAGCTCACTCCTCCTCGTTGCCCTCTACGCCTGGCTCCAGCAGACCCCTCAAATCCCGCTCCGGAGCCAAATCTTTCCGGGTCAGGGACTCTTCCTCCTCAGCTACACTAGCTAGCTCTGTCGCCAACAGCGGGGGCAGCAGCAGCATGAGCACGAGCAGCAACGTGGGGGCAAAAAAGCGCAAAAACAGCTCTCTACTGACGCCCCACGGCACCTACGCTGCGGAATCTTCCTCTTCGTCCTCCTCTTCCTCCTTCAAGAAGAATTGCGCGGTGAATTCGGGCACCTCAGGTAGCAGCTTCCACTCCTCACTTACCTCCACTCCCTCCTCTACAGCTTCCTCGTCCTCCTCTTCCTCTCACAGTGCGGGTGCGAATTGCCCGCCAAGCCGCGCCAACTCACTCAGCCTTCGACAGGAAGCGGCCAGCCGCGGTCCGCCACCGGCCAGCCCGGCCGAGCCCATCAAGCGGATGAGTGTAGTGATGAACAGCAGCGACTCCACGCTCTCGCTCGGCCCGTTCGTCCACCAGAGTAGTGAGCACCACAGCCACGCAGACGCCCGGATCGACAGCAAGAGGAGGAAGAGTTCGCCTGCCAGCAGTGGCCTCGCTAGCACTGGTACCTCCACAGGTAAATGTACTATTTAGAAACTCTTAACCCTCTTCGAAAGCGAGGAATCGCTGTTTTCAGTTATGTAAAACCAGTTTTGTATGAAATGCTGCTAGTGCTTTGTAGGTTTCAAATCATTCTTTGTGTCCAGAACCTTGAATAGGGCTATACATGTTTCCGTAACAAGCGATATAACAAAAAGCTGTATAACATTGAAAATGAAGAACAAGATTAACATCCTGAATGCCTCATATTTAAAAAACGATGTTCAAATCTCACAGTAGAGAACTTGACAAGAAATTGGTATGTGTAGTACTGGAAATATATTTATAATTTAAAAAAAACTTTGAATCAGAAACATATTCTAGTGTCTATAATATTTAAATCTGCATTAGAAGATATTATAGTATAAAATCAGAACAGTCATTACTAGGCCACATGATTCCAAACATTTGAATGATAAGTGTAGGCACAAGCTGGTTGGGACCAGTTAGCATGATCTCATTCACATATCGCTGACCAGCCCACACCACTGTCTTATTATTAGCAGAATTTTCTTTCACTCTAGATGCAGTGTTCCTTTAATCTCTACAAAATTACAGTATTTTCTGATCATTTCGGGCTGTGTTTCGTAGTAGTCCTTCTTAAGACTTACATTTGGATGTTTAGTTCAGGAAATCGAGCACTAGTGCTCATTTAAGACCACCAGAAATGTCTGGTCTATCTTCCCAAATGTTCCCAAGCACATGCACTTAAATGAAGAAAACACCTATGATGGCTGTAATGTATTTTATTGTTCCAGGCTTGTATTGTGTATGTGCGTGCGCAGTAACGAAGCTGACTTTGTTTTTAATAGCATCTGCGGGAGGAGGAGGGTCACAAGGTCCCGGCAGGCCCAAAATGCCCAAATCTCCAGCCGTCAACAACATCCACAGCAAACATGCACGGCCCATGCCAGGAACACCAGGGCTTCCCAATAACTCGCTCATACATCAGGTGTGTGTTCACATGTTTGTATCGTAAAGATGTAAACAATTTGCATAGATACCTACCGAGACTGTACAGTTCTACACACAGAAAAACTAAGTAGGGCTGCAGTTAATAATTATGTTTGTAATAAATCTGTAGCTTTTATTCAATTTATCGACTTCCATTTCTTCTCACTGTGCCCTGTCACAGGGACACGTTCAAAATTCCCACTTTGCAACAGGGGCTTTTTTATGGTGCAGTGAAACAGCAGAAGCCATATCGCCCCCTACACTTCTTGTACTGTATTGCAGCTGGTCACAGTGACCTCTATTACCATTAAATAGGCCAGGAGAAACTCACTAACATTTGTTTCCTGCCGTTCAGTTTTTATGTGGTATGCATTCAATTTTTTGGCCAAAATTAAATTCTCAATCTGTTTTCAAATGTGAAGATACACTAAATACAGTTCTCAACTCTAGTGTACATCTGATCATTGACATAGCAGCGTGTGGCAAGCTGGATTCTGCTGGAGTTGTTGTTGTATACCTTTGTGTTTGAAACTCAAGCGTGTACCAAATACTAAAGTATATTAAGCAAAAAACATTGTTTGGCCATATACATACATTTTCAAATGTATTTGAGATACACTGTATGTTTGTTACATTTCTGTATGGGAAACAGTGTTTAAAAATGAATTAACAGAGAATTCTGCTGGGGTTTTTTACTCTCCGTTTTAAGCTCTAAAACATCGAGTAAGGGAAACATTGCCATGTATTCATGCTTCACTTTTTTCCATAGTTGTTGTCAACAATTGTTGCAGCCCTAAAACTAAGCATGCGCTGCTGTTCACTGTTTGTGCTTGTGTGCTCAAGATGCAGCTGACTCTATCAGGCAGAGGCACAAAGTCGAAGTGTTGATTATTCATTTGGGACTTTCTGTTGTCCATTATTTGAATTGTGTAGTGCCATATTCACAGGACTGTGGCAGTAATACAGTACAAACTTGTATTATTAACTTAGAATTGTCTGTGTGTGTTTAAGGCAGTAATAACACTGCAGAACTAGTAATACTGATTTTTTTTTTTCTGTCCCAGCCAAAGGCCCGCCCCTGACACAGGTGGGCAGGCTCTGGGGGTGCGGAGCGGTGGACTGAAACCCGATCTTCGCAAGCTCCCTTAGCGCCCGTCACGCCACACTGCACGAGGCCTTCTTCTTCTTCTCTTACTCTCAGCTTCCCGCAATCCTCAGGGTGGAGAGCGCACTGGGCGGCTCAATGACGGCGATCCATTCCTCCCAGCCACACGGGGGCACCGCGCGGGGGGGACAGTGTTTGACGTAGTGGGGCGTAGTGGTAAATGTGGTGGGTGTGTGCAATGCACTTGGTGGCAGCCCCCTTGGAAGGTGGAGGAGGGGTGGAAAAGCGAGGGATGCAGAGGTACAGATAAGGGCTGGTACTGGGCCACACCAACACTACTATGAATCGTCGGAGGGACTTTTAATGGGTTATATGAGCAAAAGGAGCATTTCTGCTGATCTCTTCCGTGTGCGTGCGTCTGTTTGAATGTGTGTTCATGTACGCGTCTGGGTGGATGATACTGGAATACTGGAATTTTTTTTTTCTTGCGCGATCTAAACAGTAAGTGCTTGGAGAAAGGAAGTGCACAGGAAAAAAAGGAGGAAATATCAGGAGTCTCAGTGTGAAAAACGCGATCACATTTAGTTGAATATATTTACTCTTTTAGCACCCTGACAGATGGAGTTTAAACAATAATACAGAGTTTTACTCACCACAGAGCAAATAAGGAAGAATAGATACAGACCAGTATCCAAATGAACAACTCGTATAAATGATATAAGTCTTAATGCTTCTTAATGGAAAGCATTTTGTTTACGTACTTCAAGTATCAGCAGCTTTGGAGCAAATGGAACAAAATGTCATTTTGCAGAGTTTCATCCAGTTTTCATCCCATTTGAAACGCAAAGACCAGCAGTACGGACGATTGTTTAGAAATTTGAATTAAATTCAAATGATTATGCCATCATTATGACCTAAAGAATGGCTTGAACAGGGCTTCTTTTAAATGAGCCTTCCTAATTGTTGGTGTTAACCACAGTTGACTTGCCCCAGTCGACTTCTGTACTGTTTATTTACCCAGCCGGACCCCTGTATTCTGGAAAGCTGGTGGTCCTAGCAGCCTTTCCCCGCCCTAATCATTTCTAGGCAGTTCCAGCAAAAATTGTATTACTCCTGATGACTTCTTGTCCTGAAACATGACTTGATAAAACCTTTAAACACATTGTAACTTCAGTGTTACAAGTAAGGACTGTTGGAAGTATTTGCCTTGGAAACACTGTCTGTTATAGTCAGTCTTATCGATGTACACCGACCCTCAGACAGTTGCAGAGAATGTTGTTCGCCTTCAGTTATTCCTGTCCAAATCAGATACCCCTTCATCACTACAGCTACATGTGGATATCATTCTGTATGAATCAAGTTTGCCTACATACACTAACAAGATAGCTGTAGGGTTTTCTTGGCAATAGATGACAAAGGCCCGATCACAGCAGCTTGCAGGCCAGTTGGTACTACAACAGAGGCTTTTGAATAAGACCTACACTAAAATGTATAACATGTTTACCGTGCCCTGTAATCTACTCAAAGGTGGCCCTAAGGCAGCTGGTTCAGCAGCTATTTTAGGCTGTGAAGGAATAGTTGAGAGAAATTGAGTTTGCACAGTTTTTCCCTTCCTTCACGTGTAGTTAATCAGCTAAGACATGCTTGTTTGCTTCTTTTTTGCACTGGAGCTACAAGGCTAATGTTGCTACCAAGTGATGGAAGCTTGTAAGCACCAATTATCCAAAGACGGAGCTAGAAAATGGATGATGATATACAAACGATATACATTTATCTATAAAAATGGACAAAAGCTATGAGGCTAATGTGACTCACAAGTAATGGAAGCTTGTACGCACCAATTATCCAAAGATGGACAAATGGACTTGCTAATGTGGTATCTGACACTGTATGACATACGTTTATCTATAAAAACGAACAAAAGCTATGAGGCTAATGTGGCTAACAAGTAATGGAAGCTTATAAGCATCAGTTATACAAAAGTTAAGTTGTAAAATGGACTTGTTTATGTTGTATGTGACACTGTATGATATACTTTTATCTATAAAAATGGACAAAAGCTATAAGGCTAATAAGTAACGGAGGCTTGTATGCACCAATTATCCAAAGATGGAGCTAGAAAATGGACTTGCTTATGTGTTGTCTGACACTTTATCTATAAAAATGAACAAAAGTTATGAGGCTACCGTGGAAAACAAGTAATGGAAGCTTATACGCATGAGTTATCCAAAGGTGAAGTTGTAAGATAAACTTGCTTATGTGGAATCTGGCAATGTATGATATACTTTTATCTATAAAAATGGACAAAAGCTATGAGGCTAATATAGGTAGCAAGTAATGGAAGCTTACACCGATCAGGCATAACATTATGACCTGGTCTGAGTGGATCAGACACAGCAGTGCTGCTGGAGTTTTTAAACACCTCAGTGTCACTGCTGGATTGAGAATAGTCCACCAACCAAAAATATCCAGCCAACGGCGTCCTGTGGGCAGCGTCCTGTGACCACTGATGAAGGACTAAACAGTAGTGACAGATGAGCTATCGTCTCTGACTTTACATCTACAAGGTGGACTGATAAGGTAGGCGTGTCTAATAGAGTGGACACTGAGTGGACACAGTGTTTAAAAACTCCAGCAGCACTGCTGTGTCTGATCCACTTGTACCAGCACAACACACACTAAAACACCACCACCACATCAGTGTTACTGCAGTGCTGAGAATGATCCACCACCCAAATAGTACCTGCTCTGTGAGGGTCCATGGGGGTCCTGACCACTGAAGAACAGGGTAAAAGGGGGCTAACAAAGTATGCAGAGAAACAGATGGACTACAGTCTGTAACTGTAGAACTACAAAGTGCACCTATATAGTAAGTGGAGCTGATAAAATGGACAATGAGTGTAGAAACAAGGAAGTGGTCATAATGTTATGCCTGATCAGTGAATAAGCACCAGTTATACAACACGACCAGATAGCATTGTGCACACTGCATGACTAAATCACATACTTTTGTCCATTTTTACAGATAACAATCTGCTTCAGTGTCAAAAACCACAAAAGCAAGTCTCATCTCGATGCGGTTTGAGGCAAGTGTGGGTTGATTTAGCCGTGCAGTTAGCATAATGTGGTATTAGCTTCCATTACCTGTTAGCTGATAGCCTTCAGTGCAAACTAAAGAAGCAGGCATGCTTTAGCTAACTGACTAAATATGAGGTAAGGGTAAAAATGATGCAAGTTAGTTTAGATTAGTTTAGTAATTTAGATGCTTTATCCAAACATGCGTTTGTGACTAAGAACGAATGAACGCTAGCATCTTATTTCCATGATGCTAATTGATCCCTACATCCGCTCATTTGTTGGGCAGAAGCTACGTTAGCATTTTTGGGCAAAGTCCTCTATTACCAGGCCAGGTGTAGTGTAGTTGAAGACGGGCCACATGGTATCATCTCAGTGACAGCACGGAGAACTGCACAATATGAGACGAAGTACTGTGAGAAGCTCCTACTGATCGATAGTTAGCCTTTGTCCGCTATAGCCATACATTTTCATTGTGCTGACGAATGAATTGAAAAGCAATCTCCGCCTTCTTGTATTGAATAACCACTATCCTGTCTATTTGCCACTTCTGATAATGGCTAATCCTGTTCGCAGCGCCTGCTGTCCTAATACAGTGTTTTGTTAACTGAATTTAATGAAATAGTGGGGGATCACCCCGGCCCCGATCCTAGCGAACTGGCAATAGATCTGTCGTTTTGGGGGGCAGTAAGCTTTGAGAAGAAAGTATTAAACAGTGAGGTTGTGGAGATAGAGGTGTAAGCTTTGGCTCTTCGATCTGACTCCCGTAAACTCCACTGATGTCAGTCAACGGTCGTAGCTGAGAAGCGAGAGCGTTTTTTTCTATCTTCGGCTTTTTTCTATCGACGAATATTGAAGTTATAACCCTATTTCAGAATACATATTTTGTTAAAAGAATTGTACATACTGAGATGTATTTTTGCACAGGCATTTTCTTACACGACGTTTTTTGGTACAACTGAGATCGTTATTATTTATTTAGTGAATGGATCGGTTTTGAGATTATTTGAAGTGGTTCACTGCCAAGCCGATAATGCAATACGCCTCTTACTAGCAAAATGGAGCTTCTTATTTAGTCGTATACTGAAAGTGTTGCCACCGTAGTGGAGCCAGTCGTGTGATGCAAGTTTATTAGAATCATTTTTAGCCCCCCTCAGTCAATCGAATTGATCAGCGAATGTGATCAGAATGGCCTGTGACACTGCGAGAGATTTCATCTGTCCCATGTATTTCAATGAAACAAAACGATGATAACTCATGTCTGTACGCCAACCCGACTGTGTAGGGTTGATGGGGAGACGAAAGCAATTACTTTAACGCGAAAAAGGAGAGTGAACACTGAGCGCAGACCGTTTTTGCACCGCCGTTGCCAAACATATTTAGAAAAACACTGCTTTTTAATCAACCATTCTTTTGCAGCTTTTTAAATAATGACAAAAAAGTGCCTGAATTAGTTTCTCATCAGCTGTTTTTAGACAAGGAGCATTTTTCAGTAGTTGTTTTGTTTCACGTTACTTGAATGTTCTATACTTGGTTTTAGAAGCTTGCTTTTTAAACCTGCCTACAGAGTCCTATTACGTGGTCATTTTCCCTTTTCACATAGTGCAGCGAGTCCTGCATTGACTGGCAAGATTGACACAGCTAATGTAGACAATTATATGGTAAAAGCATGGTCCCAAAGTTCTTTTTCTTTGACTACTTTTGAAGATGTAATTTTGCAAGTCAAAAAAAGGCCTAGTTTATTTTTTTGTGTTTTTTTGTGCTTTGAAAGCTGAACATTGGGTCCCTTTAATTCAGTTCTTTTTATTTTAACACAGATTAATGTTCTGTATACTGTCAGATTCCAACTCCACTGACGATGTTTTCACATGATGGGAAAACGTGGAATATATTTGATAAAAGAAGCACAGATCTGGAATGTGAATCAAAGACAGAACACAGCTCAGTTTATCGGAGGAGGAGCATCTTCATAGAACATAGAGAATTATGTACAAGTGTGTATATTTGAGTTCTTTTTTTATCTACATAATCAAAATCATTTGATCAGCTGGACTTTTGTGTGTTGGCTGCTATGTAATTCATGAACAAACATAGTAGGTTAGATTTACTTAATATTTAAAGAAAAAGATTGTATAGTCTATTTGTTTTGTAACAGGTTTTCTGTAAATAAAAAAGTAATTTATACAGTTATTTATAAGAAAAAAAAGGCTGGATTTACTCTTCTTTATGTTCTTATGGTGTCATGCTCGTTTTTAATTAAATAATACAAAAAAAACTAATGTGAAAGCATGGAAACCCAGTGGCAAAATGAGAACAAATACAAAAAGGTGAATTGTGAAAAAGCACAATGATAAACATCAAATCACAAAGCAACTGAAAATTGATATCACGGCTTCAATAGAGGTTATGCAGTAAAATGGAAGTGTTCCTCTACGCCTCTCCTAGGCCTTCATCCGATTATGTTTGATATTTTAATATTCAACTCAAATTTATTGGTATAGCGCTTTTTACAGTGGCAAGAAAAGATTCCTTAAGAGCAGGAGGAAGAAACCTTGAAGAAGACCTGTATATACAAATACAAATATACAATACTGAATACAGAAAAAAGAAAAGAAATTAGCCCTTCATTGGACAGAGGTATTGAGATTAACCAGTGAAAACCAATGACGAAGTATTTAAATGAACCAATTATAACTGGTGGCTAGTGTTAGAAGCCTGTTAGAACTCAGTATTGTGTCAGGCAGGTGAACAATGTTTAAGATTAAGTAGTTCTAATATAGATCACAGAGCGTATTTAAAGTCAACCTGAACTCAAAATTAACCTTTTTATCTTGTTAGTTGATGCCACCAGTCCATTAAAAAGACAAAAAAAAATAATTCATGTTTTCCTGTAACTGTAGATCAAAACGCAAAAATAATATTAAACAGTGAAAACGTTTCATTCCTTCCCTTCAAATATTGTTTTCTCTGATTTACACTGATTTCTGACTGAATTTTTTTTTTTTGTTTTGTCATATGCAAAAGTTTGAACACTTAGCTGCTCATTTTTAAGAGAAAGGTTAGCATATCCTCTGCAGAGAAGAGTTACATATGGCATTTAAAAAGTTACATGTGGCATTTTCTGAAAATGTAATGCACAATTTCTATTCCTTTAACATATTTAGGAGGAAAAAACAAAATATCACAGAACTTTTGCACAGGCCACATGTGTGTTTTTGAACTGATGAACAGTAACTGTACATTAAAATGTACACAAGTTCCTTCTCTGTAGAGGGTGTGTTAACTTATACTCACTTAGAAAATCAACAAAATGTCGAACTTGACCGGAGGCGTCATGCGACTATGTAAAATAAAAAGTGCAGAAAACAAACAGCAACTTAAAAGCCTAGTTAAGTAAATAGACTGTCAAATGCTTTTACTGGAGACAGTCATTGCAGACAGTGATAATACTTACTTTATGCCTTTTACTCCTCCATAAATCCACACAACAAACTAATGAAGGGTTCTATTCTAGGCACAGACATAAGGTTATCATGTCCTAAAGTGAAATTCGGCGCATGACAGCCGGTGTGACGTCGGGTCACATGCTAAATCCAGCAAAAATTTATAATCTTATCAGAGCAATTGATTCATTTTGCTTGAACATTTTCGAATAACTTACAATGAACATCAGTACTCACAGGTACAACAGGGGAACTCGACACACAAAAAAAAAGGTTCTTAAAGGGTTCTTTAGCAAAGAAAGTGGTTCTATATAGATCCATGAACAGCCAAAGAAGTCTTCGCATGATTAGTTCTTTGCCTCGTGAAAGTGTTCTTCAGATTGATGGAGAATGTGCTGTAGATGGTTCTATATAGAACCTTTTTGAAAAGGGTTCTTCTATTGTTACGATGTCAGGCTTGTTACAATAGAAGAACCCTTTTCGGTACTATATAGAACTCTTCAAAAAGGTGAAATTTGTTATTTGATTGTCATTGTGCTTTGATTTCACATTTTGCCTTCTGTTCTCCTTTTGCTAATTTTGGGGACTTTTGTGTGCATATATGTTGTCATTTGTGTTGTATTTGCAGGTTTACTCTCTACTATATACACATCTTGTGCCTTATGCTGCACTGTTATGCACAGGTGAGCTATGAATTCCTTAGTCACAGACAATGAAGACAAAGATTTCTCTGAAAAGATTTTATTATATACTGTACATAAAACAAAAAAAAGTCATGTTTTACTGCCGGGACAACGTTTGTGTTGAAACAAGCATCAAAGGTTTGACCCACTCAAAAGACGACAGCCCCCCAATACCGTATGTGGCTACATGTTAATGACCCGGGAGAGCTTCTGCACTCTGTTCAGCAGGAGATCGCCTTTCTTTATGGTTTCCTGGTACTGCCAGTTCTTACTGTCCGGCCTGAGGAGAGAGAACAGAGAAAGATTAAAATAGCCATCAGACGACTGGACTGTCATGGTCATAACTACGATAAACTGAGATACTTTACGTAGCATGTGATGTGATGAGGTTACTTTCACTATTACCACTCAGATTTGAAACTATGGTTGCACTATTGTGATACTGGCCTTGGCAACACTGATCTGGCAGAAGGCTGCGATATGCAAATAAGCCTCTAACAACTGTGTGTGCTGAGCATCCTGACATTCCAGATATGTTTGGAGAAATCTGGGCATTTATGTGATCCAAACAAATGCGAAAAACGCAGGCCAGTCTTCAAGGGTCACAAATGAGTAAATATTACAAGGCATTTTGTGATGAGTGGCAGTGTAAACACAATAGTCTCCATATCATATCATGCAGCCCTTACAGCAGCACCCTATAAAAGAAGGCTGTGATTTAAGCAGCACTGTACCTGTTAGTTTCAACAATTTCGTTCACTTTGTCGATCTTGCAGTGCAAACGACCCGCAGCAATGAATCTGGAGAGCTCCCTTGGGGAAGACAGGAAAGAAAAAAGGAATATCAACGAAACGTTTGTGCGTGGACTACTATCAAAGGAGGACTGCGTTCTCCTAGACCCCTTAATCTATTTTAATGCATAATAGATGTTTTCCACGTACTGGTCGATGAATTCTGTGCTGACTCCAAAGGCTTCAGCCATATAGCCCAGGGTGAGAGAACGATAGGACTCCAGCAGCTGACTGTAGGCAAGGATCCGCATCTCGCGTACATAGTAACGGTAGTGTGGAGCGAACAGCCAGTCCCTCTTCATCTCCTGCTCTACACGAGCTACAACAGAAGAACAAGGAGCGGGAGAAAAACATTTTAAATACAGAAATAAAGGCTGATTTATGAAGTACTTTGGTTTCATCTAGAGGCGGGCAATATGACATTCATCACAATCTGTCATAATAATCGTTTCTGCAGATGTTGTGGGTATCATCCGCACTTTAACAGTGACAGACCGCATATTTCGTTAAAAAGAGATTTAGAAGAGGCTCCCAAACCATCCATGGCTTCACTCTATTGAGTGTTAACAATGCTGGGAGTCCAATGGATGTGTTGGTGCATAGTACAGGGTGATTGAGAAAGATTCATCCGATTTTAAAGCAGCATATTTTTACAAGCGTGAGGCGCCCAGGAACCAATCACACACCAACTGAAAGAGGGGGCCATAGAGTTTAAACTTTATGCTCACTTAAACCATTTACAATTCACTGCATTGTTCGGTAATGGTTTACAAGTGAAATAAATCATTTTAAAATCAGATGAATCTTTCTGAATCACCCTGAAAGAACAATCGCTGATAATATTTTTAAATGTAGCAGTACTAGACCAGATTAAAATAGTGGTCTCTTATTTCCCTTTGAGGATTAATAAAGTATTAACTTCACGATTATGTCAGTTACATGTTATCAAACCCCAGAAAAAACAAAATATATTGTGTTGCCCACCCCAAGTTTCAGCTAACCCTTTCATACATGCATTTTCCTCAGAAAGTTAACAGTACTTAAACGGGAAGGGGTTGAGTGTGAACACAAGTTGGACTTAAATACAGAAATTTATCGGCACAAGACCTTGTACAACTCCTGGGAAATTATCAGGAGGGCTCTTGTGAACAGAAGCTGATACATTACTGGAAGATACTTTGATGATTGTGGCTGGCTAAGTGGAACAGCACAGCAATGTTACAGCTGTGTTTTTTAGTTTAGCGAGTGACAAATATACCTCGGGAGTGCATTTTGTACGTGATTCTAAAGAAAAGTGGCAAATCTACATCACTACTGTGCAAAAACTACAGCATGGCCTGCAGAGCAAAGCATTTGTGAGGCTTTTGTATTTACAGTCGAGTTTTCAGTTTTCTCTGTTAAAACGGAGTTTAAGGGGCATGTGGGAATGACGCAAAGCCAAAACAGTAATGGTAAAACTCATGATAATGTCCCAGGTCTGACAGTGAAAGGGGTTTCTGAGTGCCTGCCAGGTGTTATTGAAGCAGAGAAAACTGCAGTGCTATGGCCCCCCAGTGTTGGCAGTGAATAACATCATTATATAATCAACATGAAAAGAGAGATTTGGACTCACCTAGAGACTGGAAGAAGATAGAGTAACGGCACTCATAGAGAGAAAACAGGTACTGACGCACATCAGGAAGACTGTGCAACACCTCCAGAATCTCAGCACCTTTTATTACCTGAAGGGAGAAACCACCACAATCCCAAATTATAACCATACAGCTCAAATACATGGAATTAATAGTAATGTAACTGATTAACACAAAAGCCATTAAAACCTATGCACCAAAAGCAACAGATAGAGAGAGGACAATTACATATATACAAAGGTGTGTGATGATCCCAAATATCTCACCTTTTCTCTCAGGTCAGGCCTCTTCAGAGCGATCATGCACACATAAACGGTATACGTGACGAAGGTTTTGTAGTCCATTAGTTCATATGAGGTGAAAGTGGACACTGTGTCCAGGAACAGCTCAGCCGCCTGCTTGAAGTCCCTGATGGCCACGCAGTAGAGGCCCTGATATACCTTCAGACGATTCCTCCTGTCCCAGTCACCACCCTCTTCAATCAGACTGCAAAAGAGATTTAAAAGATTGAAAAAAGCTCAACACCAGCAATAAATCATCAAAATGTACACAATTTTCCTCTTGACCCAAACACAGTCGATCAGCCAGGCATGTTTGGTGTCTGAAGTTAGCTTTTTTGGGTTGGCACTGAACCTAAGAGGCCGAGTAACAGAACCTTACAATCACCAATCTGCCAAACATGGAGTTGCTTATGTGGCATCTGACACTGTTGGGCAGTGTTCATAAGGCTACATTATACCTGCATAAGCTCTTCATGGCAACTGACGTAAACCTATATCACCATTCACAAAGCCTTATTCCAATAGGTGTCATCTGTCAGTTTTGATGTCAGGTTGGCATCAGTTTTTTCTGACTTGGTAGCTCTGTGTATGGCACAGTGACAAAAAGCTGATGTGACATTGTGCAGCATTGTCACTAAAAGGCCTGGGACACACTGAACCGACTGTCGGGTGGAATCAGTGAGGTGTGTATGGTACAACTGACTTAAGTCGTTTCTCATCAGCACTTTTTTTTGGCCGGCGTGAATCGGCGTCAGCAGCTGATCACAGAAGAGTTGTTAGTAATATTTAATGCTGTTATTACTAGCAGTTGAAAATGCTCCTTGCATCCCCCATCAAATCCACCTAGTAATAATAGTAGGATAGTAGGAACTAGTAAGAATGGACCAAACTAGTATTTAGAGCATTACTATGATTACATTAAACGATCCCACATTTCAGTCACATTTTATGAACCTGCATGCATTTTAATTCACTGTTTAAGGTACGTATGTTCAATTTTAAGTAGGCTTTAAACCCACCCAGTGATCCTCATGCTGTTTTATCTTCACTTTCACACACTAGGGTTAGCTTAAACACAGACATTTGAAGCTTATGATGCGTTCAAACAATACGTTCTTTAATTTGTACGCTGCAGTTTTAGTTTTAGACTATTGCCAACTTAGACATTAGATGCATCAGACATCATCAGCTGTAGTCTTCACTACGTGTTCAAGTGCAAATTTTCACAGGAGATAAGAAGCGATCATAAGCTGGACATAGTTCTTAAGTGTCACCTTGTGTGTCCCAGGCTTGACATACATACACTGAGCTACAAAGTCAGGGGTCATAATGTGCCATGTCACTCGACCCAAGAAAGTTGTCATGAAACAATCCAGTGTCACCTGATATGTGTTATCATCAAAAATTCACAAAAGCAGTCTTTACAACAGTTGACACCTATTTGGAATAAGTGTTTAAGAATGTTCATGTAGGTTTATGACAGCTGTCATTAAGACCTTTTGAAGGTGTCTTGCAGATTAAGAACAATGGGCCTCATTCACCAACCGTTCTTCAGAAGAAATGTCCTCTTAAAACCCACTTAGACAGTTTGTATGAAGATTCTGACATTCGCCAAAGTTTTCTTAATTTGGATTTGTTCTTAGGTAAGAACAGAATCGACAAACTCAAGAGCACAAAGGTGCAAACAATGCTGTGGTTTAAGAACACGTCATGAATCTGATGTAGACTTTTTCTTAGGACCTTCCTCAAAAACAAATGTAAGAAAAACTTAGGAAGAATTGGTGAATGAGGCCCGATGCCCTGCAGTAGTGCTACAAATAACAAAATGCCAACTGGTGGGCACTACTTCCTTTAGTTGTTAGCTACATTGTAGTTCCAGTGTAAAAGCACAGAAACTTTAGATATCAAACATGTTTCCTAGGAAACAGGAAAATTACCCCGAAATGTGAATTCGATTTTTCCCCCAAACCACTTCTTTAATAATTGTGTTTGGGTTTATTGATTTTAATCTTTTATGGAATAATACCTCTTGGCCTTCTCAGTGTTTCGAGTGATGAGGTCATTATCCATATAAAAGAGGCCAATCCTCAGCAGATAGAACACAATGTCTAAGCGATGTCCCAGTGCAACTGTCTTGTCATAGGTTTTTCTGAAAGCAGTCAAAGCTCCTTCCTGCACAAAAGGACGAGAAAAGTCAAGGAATAAGGATATTAGTTTGATAATGAGGTGAAAAAAAGAGTCGTGCTTATAAATAAGTTATTATTATAAATAAGGTTATTCAGTTACCTTGTCCCCGATCCTAATCAGATACTCAGCTTTGGCCATCATTGCATCCCGGATCTCGCTCTCCCCGAGGTTCTTCTCTGCATCCTCCAAGACATCGTCCAAGCGCTTCAGCTCATCCTCATTGGCCTTCTTCATTTTGCCGAGAAGGTCCGAGTCCACAGGCCACTTCAGCTCCTTGCACAAGGCCTCGTAGTATGGAGCCATATCTAAAAAGGCACATGCTGAACTTAGTGACAGAGCTTAATAACCAGCTGTATTACATAAATGTGAACAAGTAAAAATTCAACTTTTACTTTTTTCCAGTAACAATAGAAAAATGGTAGAACTTAGTATTTACTAGTAAGAATAAAACAAATTGTGTTGTTTAGAGTTTTTACTAACAAGAACAGAACAAATAGCACAATTTAGAGCATCACTAATGTATGAGAAAATCCCTCAGTAGTCACAAAGCAAAAAAAATAAATAATGCATGTGTGAACTGAACTAGTTCAGATGCTGAAAGACAGAAGATTAAATGGACACTGCAGTCAAACTGAAAAATGTATGCATCGCTTTATCTGTTGTACACATGCATACTTTTCTTACAGTAGAGCTGTAAAAGTCTCTGAAGCAAAATCTCCTGACTCAAAAACTGGAAAACCACCTTCTGATGACGCATCACGAAGATGGAAGTAAACTCTGAAACACTAGTAGTGCTCTGAGATGGACAATCAGCGGAGGGTTTTCCTTGCTAGTCTGCTATGTTGTTTGGGGCTAGTGCTATATCACTATTGCTAGCTAGAACTATAGATGTACTTATTTGCCCCCAGATCTAGATTCCTCATAATGTATTTATATACTGCATGCATAAAAACAAGAAAATTGATACAAAATCATGAGGCTGGAGGTGCTGTGCTACAGAACATAAAATAAACAGCCTATAAGACACGTTTTAGTCAGAATGCCCTTTAAACCCACAGTGATTATAAATGTGCTCCACTGCTACAAAATAAAAAACGTATTTTAATACGTTTAGTATTTTAACGTTTAAAAATTAAACTTATTTTAACTGACAGTAACAGTTGCTAACTGCCTTCTTTAAAATAGGGTCCCTAGACTGGAGCCTTTGCCCCCTCAGCCATGGCACCATTTAAAAACAAAGTGAAACAGCTGTATTTCACATTAAACAGACACCGCAATGCTCAGTTAAATGGTTTTATTACACTACAGGAACCTAAATTTGGGTCTTACAGTGACCAGACCTCTCAGAAATTACGTTAAGCTGGAGAAGTTGGAGCCGGCCTGTCAGAAACAAGAGCCGCTAGCTTAGCATCTCCTATGCTAACTTTAGCAGCCTAGTCATCCAGTGCGCGGCTCTGGCTAAGCTATGCTAAGCTAATGGCGATAGCGGTCCGAGCACGGAGCGAAGTTCCCGTTCCACCTTAAATGGTACAGCAGTTACATACTGACACATCAGGCGCCAGAATGAAAAGCTGCACAATTTAAGGTGGAACGGGAAATTCGAATAAGATGCTAACTAATTAGCTTATAGCGAATAGAAAGCCAACTTCAGGCTCGAGTCCGAGCTGCAAGGTTAGTCTCGGTCAGCTGAGTAAATAAAGACGCTCCGGGCTCCAGTCCTGACTTATGAGCCGATCCTGGCGGTGTTTGTGGACTCACTGTTGGCCCGGATCGCCTCCATCAGCTCGGATTTGAGCTCCGTGTCCTGCCGGTGTCCATCCAGAGTGAGCAAAAATTTCAGCTGCGCGATCTTCAGGTCGGGGTTTTTAGGCAAACCCTCTTCTTCCAGATTCTCCAGAGGCATCTGTGCGGATTCGGGGCCGAATTATAAGAGAATATTTTAAATAAAGAGGCCGGGAGTGACACAGCAGAGCCGCCGGAGGATGACGGGGTAATCTACACCAAAAACACACCCGCGAACAATACGGCACCCCCTCCGTCAACGACACGCGGAAAAGAGCGGACAGAAACGCAGCGGCTCCCAGAGCTACTGACATCCGGTGGCCGAGTAATGTTTTACAGGCAGATCAACAGTTTGGAAAAACGCGCGACGCGTATGAAGTTATTCATTTTTATTGGAACCCTACGGAGCCCCTAAAGCGACATGGTGGATATTTTTAATAAAGCATAGCGCTAAATTACTATATTGAGGCCACAAATTAATATATTGAGGCCACAGGTTACTATGTTAAGGCCACAGTTTACTACATCGAGGCCACTAGTTACTATATTGAGGCCGCAATTTACTACATTGAGGACACAAATTACTATATTGAGGCCATAAATTACTTTATTGAGGCCACAAGTTATTATGTTAAGGCCATAGTTTACTACATTGAAGCCACAAATTAATATAATGAGGCCACAAGTTACTATATTGAGGCCACAAGTTACTATGTAAAGGCCACAATTTATTACATTGAGGCCACAATTTACTGTATCGAGGCCACAAATTACTTTATTGAGGCCACAAATTACTATGTCAAGGCCACAATTTACTACATTGAGGCCACAAATTAATACATTGAGGCCACAAATTATTATGTCGAGGCCACAATTTACTATATTGAGGCCACAAATTAATATATTGAGGCCACAAGTCACTATGTTAAGGCCACAATTTACTACATTGAGGCCACAATTTACTGTATCGAGGCCACAAGTTACTATGTTAAGGCCATAGTTTACTACATTGAGGCCACAAATTTATATAATGAGGCCACAAATTACTATGTTGAGGCAGTAATTTACTATATTGTACGAGCTGGGCTTCGCCGATCCTTACCTCCCAGTTTCTGGCTTCAATCTCATCAGCTACTTTTTCTTCGCTGTCTGCTTTTGAGTTTATATTCTTCTTCCGGCCGCTATCCCACTTCTGACACCAGTGGTAATCAATAGACAAATCGACAAAAGTCATTATTCTGCACCAAGAACAACTCTTCAATTAACAACCAGCAGAAATATATACACGTCTAATGCTGCCCCCATGGGGGAGGTCATCACCAACCACATACTTGACGCTACCGGTGACCCCCCCACACACAAACACAAACACCCCAGACACAGAATAACACATAATACATCACACACCTTTTAACTAACAGACAACATAAACAAGAGTAGCCTCTTCCCTGCATGCCAGCTCCTGATTGGCTGCACACCCCATGGCTGTCGCCAAAATATTGAGGCCACAAGTTATGAGAAACTTAACTCGTGGCTCTGTAGAACCCCATTCTCACCAGGTAAATGATTTTTTTCTCCTTCTCTGTTTCTGGCAGCAGTTTGTCAAAACTTTGGTTTAGCTTATTGGAATAATGACTTATTTTCTCAAAGACTAAGTCAAAAATAATTATTATTTTTTCAAAATATCAACTTACTATGTTGAAATAATAACTTACAAGGTCAAAATAATAATGTATCCCATAATAATGGCTTATTATCCCAAAACAATTATTTACTTTCTTGAAATTGAATAGCCCAGAACGAATAGCTCATAGTATCTCAAAATCTCAAAACAAGTGATTATTTCAAGTATTAAGTCCATATTTTGACAAAATGAACTATAAATAAATACAAAATAAAACTTTTGATTGTACCTTCCAACAGTTTTATTCGCAAATCCTTGCATATGCAAATGATACATACAGTGGTCCCAAAAAGTATTTAGCCATTTGAAGTTCACTGTGGTGAAAAACAAAATGTCAAACCAAGTGGCATTTATTTTAAACTGGCCATTCCAAGACACAAGTATTCTTTCAAAATGCTTTTTCAAATCATTATTTCTTTGCGGATTTCAGTAGGTTTACTTTCAAAATGTATTTGTACACTTCTGAGTTCATCATCCTGTCACTGAACATGAGCTCACCGACACTAGTGTAAGAAAAATAGACCCAGACTTTGACGTTTCCACCTCTGTGCTTCACAGTACAGCGGCCTTTTTGGCTTTCTTCTCCAGGCTTTCTCCACACTAAAAGCCCACCATCGTTTTGAAACACATCATTTTGTTAAACCAGTTAAGAATTAAACTAAAGAACTTTGAACTTTACTAATGATTAAATGGTTAAAGTGTCCAAATTCTTTTGTGGGCCACTGTGGTGTAAGGATTCAAAAATATCCAGAGACCATTCAGTTTAGTGAATTCAGCTACTTTAAGGTGCCCTTATTGCTGCCACAGGAAATCAACAGCACATTCATAGCTTGTATAGTCTTCACAGAAAAGCACTGACCAATAGTATTGGCCACACTCACCATGCCCAACACCATGCCTTAGTGGGATATAATAAACCCCCCTAACAAAATCATTTCTCCTGTTGATTCTTCTTTTGACTGCCGTGGTGTCAGAAGTGGGATAGCACCCTCCAGCAGCCAGGACGAAAATGATACAAAGCCCCCCAGCGTTGGGCTGCGGAGCAGTGGAGCTATGTTTTCTGGAGTGGTAGAGCTCCATCCATCCTTTGGGATGAGCTGGAGTGATCCAAAGCTGATCATCCAACATCGGTACCTGACCTCTCTAATGTTCCATCAAATCCTCACGGCAATGTTCCAACATCTAGTGTAAAGCCTTCCCAGAAGAGTAGAGGCTGTTACTGCAGCAAAGGAGAACAAACTCTTAATTTCAGAAGAAACATTGGACGAACAGGTGTCTACAAACTTTTGGACATATAGTGAGTATAAAGTATATAGGGAGAACACTGTTGAATATCCATTCTTGCAGGGTTATTGCGCTGCCCCACATGATGTAATCATGACGTTTTCAACTTGTGTAAAAAATTAATCTTATTACTCTAGATACCTAACAGACCTTTAACATGTGTTTGGTCAACATGAATCATCATTCTTACACAGAGGTTCAAGTGGACGGACATGGACAACTTGTTGAGACAACTGGTAGGCCAACTTCATATTTTTAAACATTTTCAAGCTGTTTTTTGCCAATCAATTGCCACTAGTTACACTAGCTAATATGGCTGAGCTCCAGTAAGTGAGAGAATGATGAAATATAATGAACTGTGATATATGAATGATGTAATGTTGTTTGCTTATTCCTCATCTAAATCCAGAAAGTGCTTTGCGAATTTCATCATTGTTTCAAAACCTTTGGAAGTGCGCTTTGATTATTGTAGCACAGGGGTGCTCCTTTAAAAGTAAAGTATGTTTTTTCCTTCTCCTGTAAAGTTGCTATTTTGGAGATATGAGGTTTTGATCTGACAGCAGCGTTTTATATATATATTTATATTGTTTTTGCCATATGTTTACATTTGAACAATTCTCTGACCCCTAGCCAAAAACGAACAGCCATACTGCTAGTCTATGTATCATTCTCATAGACAATAAAATAAACGAAACAAACAAAAAACAGGACTTTCGTCAGAACTGGCTTCTCAATAGCTTGATTCAGTTTTCAAATGGTTGAAACAGATACCTCCATTGACTTTAAGTGCTACAACAGGGGTGCACAACTCCAGCACAGCTTAGAGGTTTCCCTACTCAAACACACCCACTAAAGCTGCCAATTAACAGATTAGTACAATCAGGTGTGTTTGAGTAGGTAAATCACCAAACTGTGCTGGACACTGGCCCTCCAGAACTGGAGTTGTGCACCCCTGTAGCACTTAAAGTCAATGGAGGTATCTGTTTCCACCAGTTGAAAAATGAAGCAAGCTATTGAGCAGCCAATGCTGATAAAAAGGCCTGTTATTTTATTGTCTATGAAAATGATACATAGACTAGCCATATGGTCATTCATTTTTGGCTAGGGGTCAGAGAACTATTCAAATGTAAACATATGGCAAAAACAATATAAATATATATATTAAACGCTGCTGTCAGATCAAAACCTCATATCTCCATAATAGTAACTTTACAGGAGAAGGAAAAAACATACTTTACTTTTAATGTAAGTCAATGGAACCAGACTTTTTTCCATGTCATTTTGGGCCGTTTCTTTCAGTCCATTCATCATGAAATTTACAAACAATACGAAGGACAAGAGGCATTTTCAAATTATGTCAAAAACTGAAAAATAAAAGATTTTATTCTGACAGCAGTGATATATATAGACATACATGGCAATCAGTTAAGGCTTTACTTTCACTTAAGTACACTTTGTCTGCTCTGTTTCCACCTCTGGCCAAAACATTGTGTTTTAATCCTAATCTTGTTGTTTCAGGTTCGGGGGAAGGCCCTGCTCTTTATCATAGTTCTTGGGCTGGGTGGATGCTTCCAGGTTGGATGCCACAACACATTAATTAGCTCGCCATCTCCGGTGAGTTTATTACTCAATATATCTCTTCTATAAGCATTCTAACACAATTAAGCCCTTCTAGAGGCCTTGACTCTACTTGGTACTTTGTTTAAAAAGACTATAACCCAGGAGGTCTGATTTAGTCAGTTATTATTTAATAACTCAATTTTTGTAGTCAAAGACAGTCTTTCCTGCTCAGTACTCTTCATGCTTAAAAGTATGTTTCAATATATAACCTCTTTCTGTGGGCCACTTAGCGGCCATCCTTACTGCGGAATGGAAACTGATGTGCATATTATTAATTAATATAATACGATTAAATATTTTTCTCTGTAACTTTATCAGATTAACTAAATAACAGATTATCAGATTAACTAAAACACTGTTCACTGTCTGTGAAATGTTGTGACTGTGTTGAGCTGCTAGCGAGCAATGAGGACTAAAAGGGGAGGGGTTATGAAAGAAATTCACACCTCTTCACAAATACAGCCATGCTGAGATAAACTGGACAGCAAGTCCAGCTTTTTAATAATAATAATAAAAAAACATAAAACTGCCACAATAAAAATAGCATTTAAACTCAATAAAAACACTCTATCGAAATATCTTAAAAAAAAAGCATAGTTCAGCTGAGGAACCCTCAAAACAGGCTGAAATTGCATTTTATGACAAAGGAGGAGTTAAATAGAATGTAACATCCATTTAAAGATCTTTTGAGACAACTTTGGGCCTGTTAGTTCAGTGTAAATAAACCCTTATTGCAAAATATAATACACTATGTGTCTGTTCATCCAACGTTTCTAATGAAATCCAGGTTGTTTGTAGAGAATTTATAACGGCCTCTACTTCTCTGGGAAGGCTTTACACTAGATGTTGGAACATTGCTGTGAAGATTTGATTGCATTCAGCCACAAGAGCTCTAGTGAAGTCAGGTGCTTAGGTTGCATAAATAGTTCTGGGTCACTCCAACTCATCTCAAAGGTATTGGATGGAGCTCCATCACTTCAGAGGACGCAGTTCCACTGCTCCACGGCCCAATGGTGGGGACTTTACACCCTTCTATTCAGCGTGTAGCATAAATATAGGCTTTGAATGATTTGCACATCATTGCATAATATTTTTTTTTGACATTCTGCACAGCATCACAACTTTTTTGGAATAGAGGTTGTAATATTATTTGTGAAATACTGCGTTCTGTGCCTTCTGGAAATATTGCCACCCTCTGCAAAGATAATTCTGGCAAAATGTTCAATAATGTGAGTAAGAAGATCATAATTTCCTCATTCTGTGTTCGTCCACAGTTCATTAAGAGCTTTATAAACAGCAGTTGGACTCAGCGCTATGGAGAAGCTCCAGGAGAGAACACAATCACATTCATATGGTCTGCTATAGTGTCTGTCTTTGCTTTGGGAGGACTTCTGGGCTCCATCAGTGTCCGGTGGGTCACCAACCTACTGGGGAGGTGAGAGTTTCTATCTAATTTTCTGTTTAACCAGTACTTAAAGAGGAATTCCACTGATTTTTCTAAATGTCTGCATAATAAAATGGTTAAAATGTAAATAGAGTCAATCGGATAGAGTTGATAGGAACCAGGTGTCTAAAGTGTTTAATGCCTGTAAAATGCTCACTCACAGAAAGTTATTTAATGAAATGGTTATGAATGAAATGCCCGTGAGACATTTTTTGAGAAGATTTTGACCTAAAACATGATGTTTAAAACCAATTCATGCTGGAGAGGTACATATAGGAAGTTGTATGGCAAAATTGTCCCCAAACAAAAGTTATTTCTTCCAGTTTGCCACAATTTTAGCATTATCAACAAATAAAAATACACCTGTAGGTCACTGGTGGTGTTGGATAGTAAATAAAATGACTAAATTTGTGTTGTAGACATCATGACCCCTGGTTCCTATCAGCACCAGAGTCTGTAAATTTCTCTACATTGAACCATTTCACATCAAACCACTCTGAGTGACTTTGTTTTATGATCTCAGCAACAGAGAAAATTATGCAGAAAATTTTAAAAATGGTTCCTCTTTAAAATTTGTCAGCAGATAACCATTTCACGAGCTAATTTCACAGGCCTAATTTAAGCAAAAGTTGAATAAAGAGAATAAGCAATAAGATTACTAATTATTCTCTGTGCCACTATTGTCTCCCTCACAGAAAGAGAGCTATGATCTGGAACAACGCAATCAATGTTGTAGGTTTAGGCATCATGATCATCAGCAAACCCGCAAACTCGTTCGAGATGATCCTGATCTCTCGCTTTTTCTTTGGTTTCACCTCAGGTAAGCCCCTCTCACCTGCTACATACTTTACAACACCAATTTAGAGACATTTCTAATTCCTCAGTATGCAGTTGCACTCAATTTATCTTAAGTCTTAATGCACTATGCACTACTATCACCATGTCTGCTTTTTTGATTTTCAGTAAAAGTTCTTTACAATGGAAATGTTCCAGTGATTCTGCTTGTTGTTGATTGTAAAGGTTTAGGTGGGAACCTCCATGTCATCTACCTTGGAGAGATCTCACCCAAGAAAATAAGAGGGATGGTCACACTCACTGTCGCCACCTTTAAAGCTGTCGGAAAACTGACAGGGCAGTTTGCAGGTCTAAGGTGAGGCCTAACTTTTATTCTTAGAGCTATCTGGAAAATGCAGACGTTCCATTCCTAATTTAACACAAAACTCACATAATTAAAGTATTTATACATCTGAATATTATGAGTTAGATGACGATAGTGTTGGAAATAAACTCTTGTATCATATAGTACCATTGTATTGTGACTAGCATGTTAGCTTATGGCTAGTATGTTAGCTTGGGGACAACACATTAGCTTGGAGCAATAGATTAGGCTACTATTATAAACTACACTTTAAACTTCTGCTTTAAATATTGTGCTTTTATTACATTAAATGCTCTATTAAACCGAAAATGGAAGCATTTGCATATCGCTGCCGTCGGAACGAAAGCTCGTATCTCCAAAAAGGAAACTTTACAGGTTACAGGTGAAGGAAAAATGTTCTTAACTTTTAATGGAAGTAAATTGAGAATTTTTTTTTTCCAAGTAATTTTGGACCATATCTGTTGGTCCGTACAACAAGAAATTTTGACACAACATAAAGGGCAACTTTTCTTTTCAAATTAGGTAAAAAATGGAGATACAAGGTTTTGTCTTGACAGCAGCGATATTTAGGTAAGGCATATTTTCAGCCACTCCTTATTTTTGCTGTTTCAAAAATGTATTGAATTGAGACACCACTGTATCATATTAAATCAAATAATGAAGTACAGTATTGGTTCACCTAAAATATCAGCTAAAGATAGCATTGTTAATGTAGACAATAACTTAGCAAACAAGCTAGCGTAATGGTTGCCAGAGTTTTGCTTTGTCATTCAATTTGAATGTGATGTTTTGATGATGTTTTGATGCCAATTTGATGTTAGTTAATTTAACCTGTGTCGGCCTACAGTTTCTCAGAAATCTATAATGTTTTATCAGTAAGCTGGACATGAATGTAAACCAGGTGTGCGCAAAGCCAGTTAGCTTGCTATTATTAGCTAACAGTAGCTAGCTAGCCAGAATGATAGATATTGAGTAGTTCTTGTTAAAGAAGTAGAAGTAGAATACTTTACAAAATAGCCATGGCTGTTGAAGCGATGCTTATATAAGAAAGAAAATCACATTTAATTACAAAGATTGACTTTTTGTGATCTTTTTCACCTTGAGTAAGAGCTGTTGGAAAGTGTTAAGCTAAGATAGCAAGATTCCTTATTATAAAGGGATTTTAATATTTTTCTTTTTGTGTGGAGAAGACTGAAAATACTCTGTGAAAGCAGAATTTTCTCTTTTTTGGATAGAGATACAATTGTTATAATACCTATATGAATTGAGGGAAAAGGAATATTTGTTCCAGATATTTTTCGTTAAAAAAACACAGCGTACAGTGTTTCTCCCAGTTATAATGTTTCTCCAGTGCCGTTTGTTACTCAACACTAATGTGTAAGGTACCATAATGTACTAATACCTCAATATGCCTGTCTCACAGTGAGATCCTGGGTCGGGAGGACTGGTGGAACATCCTGCTCTGTGTCCCAGCCTTTTTCTCCATAATTCAGATGGTAACGCTGCCTTTCTTCCCTGAAGCTCCAAGATACTTACTGATAGAGAAGGGCAACACTGAACAGTGTAAAAAAGGTATTCACATCAAGTTCAACAAGTCTCTCAAAGCTGATCTGTCCTTAGTTTACAAAGAGGTCACCCTCGTCTAAAAATTAATGCAGACGTTTATGTTTGTGCATCATACACAAAATAAAATAAGTACATCTACTTTTGTACCGGATTGCCATGTGCACAAATGATTGGTATTATTGTAGTTTTCTATTTTCGTTCTTATTATTGGTATTATAGATGATACTAATAATAGTTTTTGTGTAGTTACGGCAAATGAAGCTTATTTATCAGGTTGTTAAAATATAGGACAGCTTAGTGTTACGTCAAAACAGCAGACAACTTATTTACACCCAGAAGTACAGCTAACTTATCCACCAGGAAGTATAGACAACCGTCATGTTTACAAACATTCTGATTGGGTCTATTACACTTGAATTTACATACATTCGTGCCAGACATTGAGTTCGATTGAACAGATACGCCAAAGAGTATTTGTTCTCTCCTACTCTATGCATACATGCTGTGTGAACCTTTGCATGTGCTTTTGTGTGTATATGTGTGTACATGTGTTTACATATTTATGTTTGTGTGTGTACTGCAGCGCTGCAGTGTCTGTGGGGTCCGGGGGACTACAAGCTGGAGATTGAGGAGATGCGCCTAGAGCAGGCGTCTCTGGGAGGAGAGCGCAGTAAGACTCTGCTGGAGCTGCTGAGGGACCAGAGCGTACGCTGGCAACTTCTCTCAATGTTCGTCATCAATGGAGCTATTCAGTTCGGTGGCATCCCAGCGGTAAGTAACCTAGAACAGGGGTGCTCAACTCTTGGTCTTGGTGATCTCCCACCTTTGAAAGTTTAGTTCCGTAATATTAATTCCAATATATCTCCTGAAGGCCTTGATTAACTGGACCAGGGCGTTAGATTGGGGTACTGGACAGTAGAGTTGGGCCCTCTAATTTGCATTTAACAAGACTCCACATCACTTCAGTGTAAAGGGGAGGGGCTAAACTGCTGAATGGGCAAACATACTGAGGAATCACAACCATGGTTATGACATCACAACCATGATGAATTCTGAACTGCTTTTGCAGTCTAGGTTTCAGTCATTGCCGCTCACACAGGCAGTTCCCACCCGTTTGTTTTAATCCTTTTTGAAAACAAGACTTTCAAACCTGACCCTGGATTTCAAAGATCACTGAAGTCCTCTCATGATCTTCTTGTACTGTTGTTCATATTGCAGTATGAGGCTTTCTGATCTATTCTCTTCTGTTTGCACAGGTCAGCGTCTTTTCTTTCAGCATCTTCCAGGAGGCGGGAATTCCTGTGGAAAAGATCCGTTACGTCACTCTGGGGGTGGGGGTATCTGAAATCCTCACCAACATCACATGTGTGAGTTCTAAAGTACATCAGAATGAGCACTTCTGACCCTTCAAAAGATTGTTTACAGATTTAAAAGATGGACATGTGATCTGTGTGCATCTGAATGATGTTCTACTATGTGTACGTGTATATATTTTACACACAGGGTCTGCTGATTGACCGTGTGGGCAGGAGAGTGCTGCTTTGGGCAGGTTTTGGTTCCATGGCGGTCATTATGGCACTGATTACCGTCAGTCTGGAGCTAAAGGTGACTGATTTTCACCCAACAACCAGATTCATATGCTATGGATCAACTGTACTGTCATAGATCAGTTATTTACATGAGCACTGAGTAGAGGCAGTAGAGACTGAAGACTGATACAGTCCTATGCAAGTGTGAACATTCCTGGTCAAATTACATGTTTTGTTTTAGTGCACAATTTATTTTTAGTTTATATTAGATATTAGGAATGATATATCATTAGATATTAGATATTAGATATTAGATATTAGATAATAGAAAACAATTAAAACCTAAAATGTATGTGTACAATGTGCCATAATGTTTGCACAGGCCACAATTATGTTTTATTTTTATTATTTGTTGTGTGCTCTTTGTGGTTCCACAGAGGATGTGTACATATTGTCCCTTTTGCATATGACTGTTTTTGTATTAAAAAAAAACAGTAATTGCAATTTAGATAATTTTTTTTTGTTATCCAATTTCATGCCCATTTTTGTTTAACATCTGAATATAATCTAAATAAATCCGAGTTCTGAACATACAGTCATATGCAAAAGTTTGCACACCCCTGGTGAAATGACATTGTAAATGAAATAAGCTAACACATCTTCTAGAGAGAACTGAAATGTCTTTTTTTTTTAAATATGCCAAATTTTTGTGCACAATTTCTGTTTATTCGCTGAGTTTAACAGATTGAGAAAAAAAAAAAAGCATAAAATATAAAATGCAAAATGTTTATTTTGACCAGGGGCACCCAAACTTTTGGAAACAGTCGACTGTAGCTCCAGGAACTCCCTTATCTCAACAAAATGACCAGTCCCAGATCAAATAAATGTATACAACTCAAAAAATCAAACGCAGTCGTTTGCGAAACTTTGGGTGCTTCTGTTCAAATGACCTTTTGTATAGTATCGGGTGCTCACCTGATAGTATCTGGTGCTCACCACATAGTATTGGGTGCTCATCTGATAGTATTGGGTGCTCACCTGATAGTACCGGGTGCTCACCATGTAGTATCAGTTGCTCCCTTGATAGTGTTGGGTGCTCACATGATAGTATTGGGTGCTCACCACATAGTATCGGGTGCTCACCACATAGTATCAGGTGCTCACCTCGTAGTATCCGTTGCTCACTTGACAGTATTGGGTGCTCACCTGATAGCATTGGGTGCTCACCACATAGTATCTGGTGCTCACTTGATAGTATTGGGTGCTCACCTGATAGTATCTGGTGCGCACCAGATTTTTACCTAATAGTATCTGGTGCTCACTTGATAGTATTGGGTGCTCACCTGATAGTATCTGGTGCGCACCAGATTTTTACCTAAAAAACATACACCACGTCCCTTCAGGGGCTCTGGTGTAACTCTCACTTAGATAATCAACATGTAATTTGAGTCAGGTTGTTCAAACTTTGATAACTGTGTTAATAATCTCTAATCGATACCCTCTCACTCTCTCACATCACCAGGATTACTCTTTCTGGATTCCGTACAGCACTGTCGCCCTCGTATTCCTCTTCGTCATCTGTTTCGGAGGAGGACCAGGTGAACCCTCCTTTACCACCTTTAAACTTGAATATCTTTGAGAAAAGCCTTTCAAAGCCATTAATACAATTCATTAATCAATTGTCTGTCTTTGATTGACAGCTGGGGTGGTGCCATCATTCAGCCACGAGATATTTGTCCAGTCGTATCGCTCTGCAGCGTTTGTGTTCATTGGAATCATGACGTGGGCCGGTTTCACTGTGCTAGGATTTATCTTCCCTTTCCTTCTGGTAAGTCTGATGTTATTACCACAGTTTCGAATTCTGCCATCACTCACTGAGGCCCCCATAGCCCACCATTAACCATGCCAGACTGCAATCACCACTTTTATTAATGTATCATCAAATTTAGATCCTTTTAACACAGGCTATACAATTAACATTGATATTTCTGTAGGAAAAACCTTTTCAAATGCATTACTTACAAAGAATGATTAGGCATAAAAGCAATGTTTGTTGCATAGTGACAGCTTTAAGTGTTCCTCATCTTCGTCCAGCTATAACTCTCCACTCTCCTTATAATTATAACTTTATAGCTTTCTTGCCATAGCCAGTGTTGTCTGGTCTGATCTATTCTATTGCTGTTGTTTTATTCAAGACTGTATTGTACGTTATAAAATATTTGACAATACTTTCCAGATAATTTGCATGGTAGATCAGATGAGGCAAGTAGGTTACTGAATGACCAATGCTACAATACAGTCTGACCAGTAGAAGAAAGCAAGATCACGGCCGTGTCACAGAGACAAAAAGGTCAAAATAGTCTAATGTAGGCGGTCAAAATGACCACTAATGGTTTTATGAGGTAGAAATACTTCGTCCTTTTTTGTGTTTCGTAATATTGATCTCATAACAATGTCTAAAATATTCACTTATTTAATACGAGTCAGGGAACCGCAAATGTTTGGGTGCCCCTGGTCAAATTACATGTTTTTGTTGATTTTTTTGCACACATTTACGCACTTACATACGCCATTTTCTGCAAATTTTAATGCACAATTTCAATGTATTTGCAGAGCTAAAAATATTGGACAAAATAAAACATAAGCTATGCCATAACTTTTGCACAGACATAATTTTAATATGATAAATTCAGCAAGTAAACAGTAATTGTGCATTAAAATGTACAGAAGTGTGTTCTCTGTAGAGGTCGAGTTAGCTCATTATCACTTCAACAAACTATCAACAAAATGTTATGTGACCGGGGTGCCCAAACTTTTGCATATGACTGTATGGGAGTTTATTTTGTCAAGATGATCTTCAGATTTCATAAAATCAGCCTCAGCCTTTCAAGTGTTGATTTGTCAGTGGTGTATAGCACAATCTAACGTACTATGTTAAAATAAGAAAATACCTGGTGACTTGATGTAGACTGTCAGGTACAGAGTCCATTATTATGGCTGTTGTTAAGTTCTTGTGTCTTGTACCTACACATTCATAACTACAGTATGAACTGCACTGAATAAAGAGCTGCTGCGCAACAGCTAATGAGCAGCTTTCAGCACACCATTCCAGCTGTGCTCGGCTGAACAAAGGCTCATGCGATGTTCTCTTGTGTTCCTCAGGCCGCTCTGAAGTCCTTCAGCTTCACGCTCTTCTCGTGCGTCTGTTTGGCCGCGTCGCTCTACATTTTCTTCACCCTCCCAGAAACGAAGGGCAAAACTCCCCTGGAAATCTCTGAGGAGTTCAGGAACATCAGAATATGTGGCTCTTCCACTGACGACAAGTGCTTGGAGACGAGACTGTGAAAAACAAACGGGACAGAAGTGGAGTTTTTCTCTTGTTCACTTTACTACTGAACTGCTAAATGAGACTTGACGAATAATGATTTATTTTTCTAATTTAATAAAATCATTTTAGTATCTCAGAACTGCACAATACTGGGGCGGCCCTGCCCTATATTTATTTATGTATATATTTATTTCCATCTTTGTTAAATTTTGTTCAGCTCAACATTTTTTATCAAGCACTTTATGAGATAAACCACGTTACAGCATAGAGACCCATCTCCAGAGACGCTCTTAGCTATGGTGTTTGTTGTGCCTTAAACAATGAACTGTCTCTCCAATACATAATAATACTCTCTCAGTCCTAGTTTATTATCTTTACCAGTTTATATCCAAATAAAACTTGAATTTACTGCAGGAACTCTATTATTCCACTAATTTAAAGATAAACTCTGGGCTAAATGAAGAAAGCAACCATCATTACATCTGTTAAAAACATGCATACTTATTAGAACTAGACTAGGAAAACCCCTGTCTGATGACGTATCTTGAATGTGAGGGTTTTGAAAAACTACACCTGCTTCAGGGTGGCTTAACCAGGCTGGTTAATATGTTACTGCTAAGCCGAGTTTCTTACTTAGGCTCTATAACTGGTAACTGTGTTCAAATTATCTTTGCAATAGAGAGAAAGGATTAGTCAAATGACAGAAAGGACTCGTCAGATGAGGAGAACAACGAGCTAAAAGCTCAATTTAGCAAATTAGCTGGCTTTCTAGATCCTTAACTCAGTTTGGCTTCTTTTCTCTGGTTGAAAGGTTAAAAAATGTCTCTGGCATCTGTTTTGTGCTAAATAAAGATTTGATGACCAAGGCAGCAGTTATGCTAATGCTAGCTGAGTTGTATGTATAGATCAGCCTGTAGATCAGTGGCTAGGCTAGCAGTTGGGATTGTTTGACACCACAGGGATTCCCAGTGGTCATATGATGTATTTGCGTAATGCATGCTGGGTATTGTAGTGAGAGAACACTTGGTTGTATTTTCTAGCTTGGTTGTATTTATTAGCCTATAGACCAGTGGCTAAACTAGCAGTCAGGATTGGTTAACAGCACAGGGATTTCCAATGGATATAAGATGTATTGCGCAATGCATGCTGGGTATTGTAGTAAGAGATCACTGAGGAACGAAATATAAAATGAATTCTGCCAAAGTGATGAGTGATACAGTGGTGCAGTACAGAATACAACACCACATTAAGCACATTAAACTCTGCCTTTAGGCCTGAATGTCCTTTTAATCTCAGCTCATTTTAAATGAACTGTTTTGCTGAATTTGGTTCCTTCACTATTTCAATGTTTACATGATCTCCTGGCTAAAATTCTGGCTGCTAATGTCGACTCCATCTTTATTACACAGCGACTATTTTCAAAAAGCCCATATATGTGGACATTAGACTCCACCCTCCATTAATTTCTTTCCACCTTATAGCCCAAGGTTGAGGACTCCGGTGGGACCCCCTTCATGTCTGCTCAGAAGGGTTTCCCCCTTATCGACAGCTGCCAGGCACCGCTGCTTAGCCCGGCCTCATTTGCAGTTTAAATACACGCATCGTGCTATTAGACAAGGCTGATTATGACTGACATTATCTCTCCAGTAACAGACTGTTTTATCTGAGCCTCGGCCGTCCGTCCTTATCTCACAAGAAGAGAAACTACAGGATTAATCAGGAGTGCCATTACGGAGAGTTATGGCTACTTCCTATGAACTCACTCAACAAGCTCGAGCATAAACTAGAAACTGGCTTTAAATCTAGGTCAGTCCATAATCCATACTGTAAACAATCACCAGGGACCGTGTTTATTTCTGCCGCTTGGTGGCGCTGCATTACATTCGTTTCAAATGCTGTACATTTGCAGGTCACATGATCATATTTGCACCTAGACCAGCTGTTGATGAGAGATTTCGGCCTTTTCATGTGATGTCTGCTAGAATGGTCTAGTTCTATAGATCAGTGGTCTGGAGGACCCCCAGGTTACACATTTTAGTGTTTGCCCCACACCTGATCCAACTAATCTGATAATTAACAAGATAATTGACGAGTTGAAGAGGGTGTGTTTTGGCAGAAAATCACAAAAATATGCAGGGTAGGGGTCCTCCAGGACCATGGCTGGAAACCACTAATTTAAAGATAAACTCTGGGCTAAATGAAGAAAGCAATCATCATTACATCTGTTAAAAACATACGTACTTATTAGAACTAGACTAGGAAAACCCCTGTCTGATGACGTATCTTGAAAGTGAGGGTTTTGAAAAACTACACCTGCTTCAGGGTGGCTTAACCAGGCTGGTTAATATGTTACTGCTAAGCCAAGTTTCTTACTTAGGCTGTATAACTGGTAACTGTGTTCAAATTATCTTTGCAATAGAGAGAAAGGATTAGTCAAATGACAGAAAGGACTCGTCAGATGAGGAGAACAACGAGCTAAAAGCTCAATTTAGCAAATTAGCTGGTTAAAAAATGTCTCTGGTATCTGTTTTGTGCTAAATAAAGATTTGATGACCAAGGTAGCAGTTATGCTAATGCTAGCTGAGTTGTATGTATAGATCAGCCTGTAGATCAGTGGCTAGGCTAGCAGTTGGGATCGTTTGACACCACAGGGATTCCCTTTTCATGTGATGGCTGCTGGACATGTCTAGTTCTATAGATCAGTGGTCTGGAGGAACCCCTGGCCTACACATTTTAGTGTTTGCCAACACATCTGACAACTAATCTGATAATTAACAAGCCCTTCCTGAGTTGAAGAGGGTGTGTTTTGGCAGGAAATCACAAAAATATGCAGGGTAGGGGGTCCTCCAGGACCAGGGCTGGAAACCACTGCTATAGATCATGTTAGGAGTTTCTAAGGCCACAGTAGCATTTAAAATGTTCAGAAATATTCAAAATGATTTTGATTATTAACCAAGTCGGCTAAAAAGCACCCTACACTGTCAGAGCTGTACTGTTCACACAGTATGAATAAAGTGGTTTCCAACTATTTTGGTGTTGACTGATGTTGAGTAACACATTAAGGAAGCCTATAAAAGGGTCATGGTTAGGGTCTTGGTTTCACCACAGGTCATATAGGGCAGATTTATCAATAGTAATGCTCTTGTCATGGCTAAGCTAGCCTCAGTGAGCTAATTAGCTAGCTAAGTAAGCATTGTAATGCAAAGCTTTGATGGCAATTCAGAATATTAAATATGTAAACATTTTAATCATTTTAAAGTAACATATTGACATCAGCAAGAAGGTTTACTTGTAATTAATGATCATACTGATATCCAGCCAAGTTCTTCTCCTAAAGAACTTGGGGAAGATGATTGAGGCAACTTGGGGATGAACGTATGGCACTTGAGTTGTTTCCTGGACATGTCCAAGGATAGGGCCCTGAGAAAATATGATCCTGGGAATAGGGCTGTTTTCAGAACTATAAAGAGGGAACACAGGTCATAGGAATGTCCTTCAAGTGGTCTGTATATTGGCTTTGATCATGTCCATCATAGCATACCTGTAAGGCTAACACAGATCCCACAAACTGAAGTATTTTGTAATGTACACACTTAAATACATTGTTCTTCAAGGGTTCTTTAGTAAAGAAACTGGTTCTATATAGAACCATGAACAGTCAAAGAACCCTCTGAATGATTGAAGGCTTATTTGCATCATGAAAGGGTTCTACAGACCGATGGAGAATGGTCTGTAGATGGTTTAATATAGAACCTTTTTGAAAAGGGTTCCATATAGCACCCAAAGGGCCCTTTTATTTTTACAAGCTTGACATCATAACAACAGAACCATTCTTGGTGTTTTATAGAACCCTTTTCAAAAAGGTTCTATGTAGAACCATCTACAGCACATTCGTATTAACCCTTTCATGATACAAAGAACCCTTTAATCATGCAAAGGGTGTTCATGGTTCTATATAGAACCTTTTTCTTTACTAAAGAACCCTTGAAGAGTCATCTTTTTAAGAGTGTTAGTCTTATTTCCACAAGTGTAAATTTAGCTCTTAGGGTTTTTGTATGACTTTGTAAATATTTAGCTTATTAATACCTCGGTTAGTGCCTTGGGTTTAAATAGAACACAATATAATCCTTGTAAATATCTAATGTCTGACCACAGTGTGAACTAGTTTGGTAGAATGATCTGTCCATATTCTTATCTCTTTTTTAGTTTTTTTAAATACAGTTTTTATTTGTATATTATACTTGCATGTTGAATTGCATGAAAGTAGGGCTACTTCTGTTCTTCTCCTCAACTGTCGATGCTTAAAATCCCTAATGACACTTCCTATCTCCAAACTTTACAAGAAGGAAAACATTCAGTTGAAAAAAAAGCTGTTTGTTATTTTCATTGGTCCATTCATTATGGTTGCACAATGTAAACAACATAAACAATTATCACAACAAAAACAACAACAATAAGAAGCAGAAGACGGATAAAATCTACAGTTTTATGACGATAACGATACATTCTCACCCTCTTCATATAAAATATGAGCCAGGACGGTAAACAGTCTTCTGGTCAGTAGGACAGAAACTAGATCACAGAGCCTTTTCCTTCAGCCCCTCCCTACAGAATGTGTTTTAAATTCTACACTGCACCCCCCCAAACAACCTGGGCTGGACTTTGGCCTTCTAGGTCCGGAACTGGACTCTCCTGATGTAAGCCATGTTTTTTTATATGTTAATGACTCAGTGTGATCCACAGTGCTGAGAACTGAATGTTCTAATGTTCTCCAGCAGTAATGTGAGACAAATAAGCACTGGCATTGGCAGCTGCTTTACTGACCAGCTGAAATAGATCCCAAATAGGTAGTGATTAGGTATAGACTTCAATAGTGCATTTATGGTACTGTACAAAAGTCTGAGACTACCATTCATTTATTAAATATCCAGTCAAAAGTACATACTATTCATTGTACATTCTACATCACTGTACGCCAAACAAAATAAGTGAAAAAAAACATTATTCAAAGATACAGAGAAAATTCTAACAACTGTGCTGGTAGACCGTCAGCAGTACTGAAAAACAGTACTTAAAG